TCTACATTTTTCTCCAGCTCTGTCTGGGACCCTCTATTGTGATCCCTGTCAGAGCAGTCAGTGGTGGTAGCCAGGCACCATCTAGTTGTACTGGACTCAGTGTGGTAGAGGCAGATGGTAGATGTGGTCCATTAGTCCTTTGGACTAATCTTTCCCTTGTATCTTCAGTTTTCTTCATTCTCCCATGTTCCTGAAGGGGTGAGACAAGTGCAGTATCTTAGATGGCAGCTCACAGGCTTTTAAGACCCCAGGCACTACTCACCAAAGTAGAATGTAGAACATTTTCTTTGTAAACTATGTTACGCCAATTGAGCTAGATATTCTCTGAGACTATGGTCCCCACAGCCCTCCACCCAGCAATTCAGTCCCTCAGGGAGTTTGGATGTGTCTGTGGAGCTTCCATGGCCTTGTCTTGTATAAACTGTGCTGGCTTTCCCAGTATTGTGTACTGTCTTACCATTCACCAAAGTTACCACTTGTCTATTGTCTATTTAGTGTTTTTCCATCCCCACCCCTCTCCTCGCTCATAACTATCAAAGGTTGTTTTTTTTTTTGTGTGTGTGTGTAAACCTTTTCATGAGTTTTTACAGTAGCGGTCTCGTACAATATTTGTCCTTTTGTGATTGACTTATTTCTCTCAGCATAATGCCCTCCAGATTCATCCATATTATGAGATGCTTTGCAGATTCGTCATTGTTCTTTATCATTGCACAATACTCCATTGTGTGTATGTACTATAGTTTGTTTATCCATTCATCTGTTGATGTACATCTAAGTTGTTTCCATCTTTTTGCTGTTGTGAGCAATACTGCAATGAACATGGGTGTACATATGTCTATTCGTGATACACGTATTTTTGGGGAACACAATTCAATCCATGACATTTCACTCTTTGGCCCACAAAAGTCATGTCGTTGCCACATGTAAAACACATTCGCCCCATCACATCATAGCAAAAGTATTAAATCAACTCCAAGTCCAAAATCCAAAAATTCCTCTTCATCTGTGAAATCTAGAATACAAGTTTATCTGCTTCCAAAATACAGTGGTGAAATAGGCACAATCTAGATGTTTCCATTAAAAATGGGAGAAATTGGAAGGAAAGAAGGGATATCAGGCAGCAAGCAAGTCAGCAGAACACATTACCATTAGCCCTCAGGGCTTTGAAAATAATCCTGTGTTCTCTGAGACCATTTATGCAGTTGCCCTGCCCTCCAGACTCTAGGTATTGGCCACAGTTTCCGGATTCTGAGTGGAGGCCCCTCAGCCCTGGGCTTTAGCTCTGCCTTCCAGGCCCACTGGAACGGCAACTCTGCTCCCTTGGCTTTAGGCGCACCATTCTCCTAGTCCACCTGAGTGGCAACTCTACCCTTAGAAAACCCAGAGGCCATGGCTTCACCCTTTGAGACCCCAGAGGCTGTGGCCATACCTTTTGAGACTGAGGTAGCTCAGCTTCCTGTGTTCCTTGTCTCTTCAGCTCTGCTTCCTGGTTCCTTGGCCTCTCAGCCCTTTGGACCTCACTGCCTGCATCTGCCCTGCTGGGGCAAGTGTTCCAAAGCTCTTTAGCTCCACCGATAAGTGCCTTGAGGAACCCCATTCCACCAGTTAACTTCGGCCAGAAGGCATTCAGCTCTCTCGCTCCGTGGGTTGGCTCCAGTGCCGTCTGATGCTGATCTCCTGGTTCTGCAGCTGCTGGTTCTCTGCTGATGCTTCTTGCTGTGCTATCTCCAGTGTAACAGCTCTCTTCACTTCCTTCTGAGTTCTCTACCCATTCACAGTTTCAAAACCACTTCCACATTTTAGGTATCTGTTAGAGCAGCACTCCGCTCCCAGTACCAAACTCTGTCTTAGTTATCTAGTGCTGCTATAACAGAAATATCACAAGTGGATGGCTTTAACAAAGAGAAATTTATTTTCTCACAGTCTAGTAGGCTAGAAGTCCAAATTCAGGGCATCAGCTCCAAGGGAAGGCTTTCTGTCTCTGTTGGCTCTGGAGGAAGATCCTTGTCATCAATCTTCCTTTGGTCTAGGAGCTTCTCAACATAGGAACCTCAGGACCAAAGGATGTGCTCTGCTCCTGGCCCTTCTTTCTTGGTGACACAAGGTCCCCAACTCTCTGCTCGCTTCTCTCTCCTTTTATCTTTTGTAAGATAAAAGGTGATGCAGGCCACATCCCAGGGAAACTCCCTTTACATTGGAATCTGAGAAAAGGTGTTACATCCCACTTTAATCCCCTTCAGTATAACCCAATCCTGCCTCATTAATCACAGGCAGAGATTAGGATTTACAACACATACGAAAATTATATCAATCATAAAATGGAGGATAACCACACAATACTAGGAATCATGGCCTAGTCATGTTGATACACATATTTTGGGGGGACACAATTCAATCTATGACACCCACATTGCTTGTTATCTTGTGGGACATCCTGGCCACATTTTCTTGTGGAAAGGCCACCTGTGGATAACAATGAGGACTTAGAGGGCTTCCAGAGCCTAGAGGATGGGAGACTGTGAAACTCAATGACTTGACTGCGGCCTCCCGCTCTAACTTGCTTCTCAGGTCACCCGAAGGCTCGTGCCTTTATCACGCACTCTGGCTCTCATGGCATTTATGAAGGAATATGCAACGGCGTACCGATGGTGATGATGCCCTTGTTTGGTGATCAGATGGACAATGCAAAGCGCATGGAGTCCCGAGGAGCGGGAATCACCCTAAACGTCCTTGACATGACTTCGGATGATTTAGCAAATGCCCTCAAGGCAGTCATCAATGACAAAAGGTAAGAGAGAAGGTGCAGAGACAGAGGAGTCTGCAGGCCACAGCATTCACAATAAATATTCAAATGGGAAAACAAGTATATCAAAATCGAGATTTATAAATAAGATAATTTGGGAGTTAATACTTTATAAAACCCAACGCAAACCCTTTGCCATTGAATTGCTTCCAACTCATAGTGACCCTATATAACAGGGTCGAACTGCCCAATAGGATTTCTAAGGCTGTAGCCTTAGCAGGATGCTCTGGTGGTGCAGTGGTTAAGACCCTGGCTGCTAACTAAAAGGTCAGCAGTTCGACTCCACCATCTGCTCCTTGGAAACTCTATGGGGTGATTCTGCTCTGTCCTGTAAGGTCACTATGAGTCAGAATCGACTTGACAGTAATGGGTTTGGATTTTGTTTTTGTAATCTTTACAGAAGCAGACTGTAACATCTTTCTCTCGGGGAACGGTTGGTGGATTTGAACTGCCGACCTTTCAGTTAGCAGCTGAGCACTTAATGACTGTGCCACCAGGGCCCCTTAAGTACTTTATAATCCAAAAACTGAAACAAAACCCATTGCCATCAAGTCAATTCTGACTCATAGCGACCCTGCGAGACAGAGTAGAACTGCCCCATAGGGTTTCCGAGGAGCGGCTGGTGGATTTGAACTACCAACCTTTTGGTTGACAGCCAAGCTCTTAACCACTCTGCCACCAGGGCTCCATACTTTATAAAAGGAGCCTTTAATTCCTATAGAATTTATCGTAGAAATTATTTAAAAAATGATTTTCCCTGGTAGATTTAAAACTTCAATTTATTTTAAAAAAGTCACCACAGTAGTCATTCAATCTGTAAGTTCTTGTACATTCCTATAAGTGGGTTGCAGATTCTGCATTTGAGACCCCTGGTGGCCAAAGTAAAGAGAGAAATAGTTATATAAGATAAGAAGATAATATTCCATTACATAAAATAAAAACCAGCAATTTGCTTAGAAGTGCAGCTATTCCTAGCACTGTGTCTAAATAAAACTATGGACATCCTTCAGGACAGCAGTGATAATAATCACTCTTGAATACAAGCGTCTTCTTTGTCTTTTTCTTCTCCCTTTTCTTAACAGACTGCATAGACACAAACTCATGGTAGATTTAGCACTTGGACAGTTTGATGTTTTAACCATTGAATTGAGGTGTATCCCCACCTTGGAGTTGACACATGTGGTTATTTACAACTTCACCTGGGAGAGAGTCTGTCGTTTCTGACATGAGCTTTTCCTTTATTTCTTCATTTTGCTATCAAGAAAATATAGCCTAATTTCTTTCAAAAATATCGCTGAAAAGGAGATGAAATATAGGAAGCAATGTTTGAAAAATTAAAAATTACAGTTTTGGTTTCCTGCTTTCTATTTTTTCTTTTTAGAGATGAACATTTATTAAGTCTTCTCTCGCCTTCCTTCCCTTCCCTTCCTTTTCCTTCTCTTCTCCTCTCTTTCCTGGTCATAATAGAAATATGTTTCCTCTACCAAGTTTGGAAAACCTGGTATCGTTCTTAATTATAAGCAAGCATAAAGAGAGGACAGTCCACTCCTGTTGGTGTTCCAGGCGCTAATGTTTCTGTCTCTGTGTTTAGCTATAAGGAGAATATCATGCGCCTCTCCAGCCTTCATAAAGACCGCCCGGTGGAGCCGCTGGACCTGGCTGTGTTCTGGGTGGAGTTTGTGATGAGGCACAAGGGGGCACCACACCTGCGCCCCGCAGCCCATGACCTCACCTGGTACCAGTACCATTCCTTGGATGTCATCGGCTTCCTCCTGGCTGTTGTGCTGGTGTTCACCTTCATTGTCTTTAAATGCTGTGTCTTTGGCTTCCGGAAATGCTTCCGGAAAAAGGAACACATAAAGAAAACCCCCAAATCCAAGACACATTGAGAAGCGGGTGGGAAACAAGGCAACATTTCCATCCGCTGCGTGGTCAATTGCAAATGTGCAAACAGAGTCAGTGTTAAATTCATTTTAATCTTATTAAAGAATCACTCTACCAGAAACTAGATGTCTCAGAATGGTTTTTTTTGGAATGAAAACAATCTAATCTCTAGTCACACCAATAGCTAAAGATAGTTGATTATGTATATTACAGCCCGCCCTCCAGTCTCTTTACTTAATCTGAACCTTACTGATCATCTTTCAAATGACCTGCTGGGAGGGTTGGGCAGGTGCCTCCTTCATTTGCAGTATGGTGTTCTTACTAACCAGCGTGGCCTGGATCGCTGTTCGGGAGCACAGGTTTCTGAGGTGGTCCCTGGACTATACCACTACTTCCAGTGACATCACCGTCTGGCTTCTATAAACCCTTGTGATAGGTTCCTTCACCAGTATTAAAACCAAACCAAAGCCATTGCTGTCCGGTTGCTTCTGATTCATAATGACCCTGTAGGACAGAGTAGAACTGCCCCACAGGGTCTCCAAGGCTATAATCTTTACAGAAACAGACTGTCACATCTTCCTCCCGAGGAGTGGCTGGTGGGTTGGAACTGCCAACCTTTTGATTAGCAGCTGAGTGCTTCAACCATCATGCCACCATGGCTCCATTTCAGTAATGGCCAATCCTAATTCATGCTCATGCTACCCAGGTGCCACATTGTGTGTTTGAAGAAGGGAATGTTTACTCCTTGAAAGTGTAATGCCTTGTGCGTGAAATGAATGAATGACATAGAGTCCTTTGAGAACAGTGTATGATTTCTGACTTTGGGAAAAAGGAACGATGTGATAAAATTGATGAATGGTGTATTTGAGGGGATAATTATTGCCTATGTGAAATGGATCTGAACTTGATAGTGTCTGTCAAGTATATTTCCTATGACGTTTCCCACAACTAAAAATATATTAATAATATGAATTATGGTTCTTCGGTGTTCTTCTCTTCATTGATATTGCATGTATTTATTGTTAAATTACGCTTTCTAATTAAAATTAATACAAGATTCTGACAGAAAAAATTTTTTTCAAATAATATTTTATCGTGTTTTTGGTGAAAGTTTACATAGCAAATTAGGTTCCGATTTAACAACTTTCTACACAAATTGTTCAGTGACATTGGTTACATTTTTCACAGTCTGTCAACATCCTTATTATTTCCATTCTGGTCATTCCTTTTCCAGTAATCTAGTTTCCCTGCCCCTTGTCTTCTCATCTTTGCTGTAGAGTCAATATTGACCATTTGATTCATATAGATGATTTTTTAAAGGAACACAGCACTTACGGGTGATATTCTTTGTTTTCTGAATCAATCTGTCATTTGGCTAAAAGGTGACTTCAGGGAATAGTCTCAGTTCAAAGTTTTATACAGTATCTCAGGGCCATAGTCTCGGGGAGTCCCCTAGTCTCAACTGATCCAGTAAGTCTGGACATTTTAAGAATTTGGGTTTTGTTCCACATTTTTTCCGTTCTATCAGGATCCATCAATTGTGTCTCACAGAAAATTTGAAAAATATAGATGTGCACACACACGTATGAGTGCATATGCACACACACACACCTACACAAGAAAATAAAAATCTCAATCACATTGCCCAAAAATAACAGTTTTGGCAAACACACACACAAATACACATATAAAATTATACACCAAATATGCCTAGTTTTCTAACCTGCTTTCTTTACCTTACTCTGTCATGAATGTCTTTTCAATGTTTTTGTATGATGTTTAATGTACTGATAGTGGCCAAGGAAGATTCTATTGCACGGATGGATATTCCAGGATTTATCTAACCACCACTGCTGGGTGGTTTCACTTTTAGTTTCTTTTACAAGGGAGGCCTCACTGAATATCCGATGGCTAAGTCTTCATGCTGATTCATGATTACTTCCATGGGAGAGGGCTGCAGAACTGAAATCATTGGCTGTCTCAGTTTGGGTTCCCCCAGAAGCAAACCCCAACACGAAGATTGAAGGACAATAGTTTATCTGGGAGCGGGAGGATGCGCTGGTGGGGGAGAGGGGAAGTGAGAAGGGAAGGGAAGGTTGTCAAGAAGCTGGCTATTGTGTGGGCAACTGGAGCTTCATCCTGCTATGAAACCCTGGGAGCCGGTGTAGACAACAACACATGCCAGAAGTATCCCGTCTGTGGAGAAATGATGTTGGATGTTGGCGCACTCCCTTCTGTCAGTCAGGCTGAGGCCTGCTCCCAGAAAGGAGTAATTTTCGTGCACTTCCAGTCTGCCTCGAGGGCAGGCAGCAAACCAAAAACCAAATCCATTGCTGTCGAGTTGATTCCGACTCATAGTGACTCTACAGGACAGAGTAGAACTGCCCCATAGGGTTTCTCCTGCGGAGTGGCTGGTGGGTTTAAACCACCTACCTCTTGGTTAGCAGCCCAGCACTTAAGCACTGAGCCATCAGGCTCCAAGAGCAGGCAAAGGGCAAAGAAATGCAAGTGCTACATTGAGATTGGGCCCTTGTGCTCCAATGACTGTGGGTGGCACAGATGGTTTGCACTTGGCTACTAACCTGAAGGTTGGTGGTTTGAACTTACCCAGGAGCACTGCAGAAGAAAGGCCTGGAAATCTGCTTCCATAAAGATTACAGCCAAGAAGACCCTATGGAGCTCAATTCTACTCTGTAACATGGGGTCGCCATGAGTTGGAATTGACTCTACAGCTATGGGTTTGGTTTTTTGGCATTGAACAGGTAAGAGCAGGGGATCTGGGTGGGGACACTGAAGGCGTTGCTACTTAGGGTAAATGCTCTGAGATACACCTTCTCCTCATTCATCAACTGTTTCATTACCTGACATTTCACGTTTACGACGGTAGTAAAAAATCTATTATCTGACTATTTTGTGCATTAAGGATGTAAGTCTGGCAGTAACGAAAGCCGAGGTCTGAGGTGAGAGTAACGCTGGCTTTGATAGTTAAGTTTATGTGTCAGTTTGGCTGGCCATTATTCTAGTGGTTTGGCAGTTATATAATTATGTCAATTTGACAGTTACATAATGATGTAGTCATCCTCCACTTTGTGATCTAATGTGGTTATCTTCCATTTTCACGTAACACTGATTTCACATAATGACCTGGTCTTTGGAACCTGTCTCAGTTATCTAGTGCTGCTATAACAGAAATACCACAAGTAGATGGCTTTAACAAAGAGAAGTTTATTCTCTCACAGTCTAGCAATCTAGAAGTCTGAATTCAGGATGCCAGCTCCAGAGGAAGGCTTTATGTCTCTGTCGGCTCTGGAGGAAGGTCCTTGTCATCAATTTTCCCCTGATCGAGGAACTTCTCAGCCCAGGGACCTCAGGTCCGAAGGACACGCTATGCTCCTGGTGCTTCTTTCTTGGTGGTATGAGGTCTCCCATGTCTATCTGCTTGTGTCTCTCTTCTATATCTTAAAAGAGATTGGCTTAAGACACAATCTAATATTGTAGATTGAGTCCTGCCTCATTAACATAACTGCCACTAATTCCATCTCATCAACACCATAGAGATAGGATTTATAATACATAGGAAAATCACATCAGATGACAAAATGGTGGACAATTACACAATACAGGGAATCATGGCCCCAGCCAAGTTGACAGGTATTTTTTGGGGACACAATTCAATCCATGACACTAACCATGTCAATAAACAAGGAAAGGGTGTATTCCCCAAACTGCCTCCAGAGAGCTCTGTTAGCGTGTGAGAGAGCTGCCTTCCCCACATTGTCTTCATTATAAAGAACTATCTTAAACAAAATCTATCAGTTTGATAGGCAATGGATAGGGCCTTGTTTTAGATCTTTGCTTTTATTACTATTATTATCATCAATTTTATTATTATTATACTTGAAATTTCTTTTCATGCTTATGAGCACTCTGCATTTCTTTGCTGGGAATTGTCTGTTTGTATCCTTTTCTTGTTTTTCTATTTTCTGTTGATTTGTAAGACTACTTACTACATTAACCAGAATAACCTCTGGTCATGTATTGAAAATATTTTCTAGGTTTTTTTTTTTTTTTTGTCTTTCATTGTGTTGACACTTTTCTTTTGTTGTTGTTACATGTAGAGGTTTTAAACATGAAGACCTTCAAATTGGGACTGAAGTCATGTGGATAGCTAGGATTTGGGCTGGTTTCCTGACCCCAGACAGCTCGGAACATCTCCTCACACTAGTCGCCTCCGAATATCTTTGTGGCTTTGCAGTGACTCTTGGGCTAAGCCCACCCTCCTTAAAGGCCCTTCCTGATCTCCCCAGGGACTGGCTCCCTGATGCCCCCACCTCCCTCAGGGACCCCCAAGCTGTTGTGGCCCCCCACCAGCTCACGCTCCTACGCATCTTTGGGTCTGTAGCACTCAGAGCCCTCTTGCTTACCAGAAAGAAAAGCCACCTCAGGATATCTTGGCTTCCCAATATCCCATGTGCAGCACAAGGCTAAGTCTTGGGAGGGGCTGGCACAGGGTGGGGCCTCTCTTCCCACCTCCTGTCACCCCCGACTCTGGGTGTGACTTTCGTGTTGTCCCCACCGGGCCTTCTCTGTTCCTCAGCCCCAGACCCCTTCTGCCCCAACTCCCAAGAGCACCTGAGGGACTGGTTGGATCCTCTCTTTCCCCTAGTTCCAAATTCCTGGGAGGAGAAATCTGATTGGTCCAGCTGAATCAGGTGCCCCCTTCCTTGTCCAGTCATGAGTGTTGATTCAAGGAGGGATTACAGAGTAAAAACATGGCTGCCAGGAACCTGTCCCTGTGACCCCAGGAGTCAGGGAAGGAGGGAGAGTTGTGAGCTGGGCAGATACCCCAGAACGTGTCCACCACATACAGGCTGATCCTGGGTCAGCTTCTGTCCACTACTCCCATTTTTATTCACTTTCTGCCTTGGCCCTTTCTTCCATTTAGGCTCATGGGTTTCTACAAATTTTAAAATTTTAGGCTAGCTCCCATAGAAACTCAAATAGTATTGTAATAATCCAAGGAAAAACATTAAAAGTATTTTTATTTTGGAAAACTATACAGGGTCGTCTTCATTTTCCTTGACCTCATTGTCTGGTGTCCTCTCTAGATAATGAATACAGGGGCGTCTCACTTATTGCCATGGCTTACATGCTCACCCTGTGTGTAATTAAAAAAACGGTCCCTTACTCCACCCCTCCCATTACCCATGTCCTTCACAACGTGACTTTGAAGCTCTTCTCAGGTGGAGGTGGAATCCATATCCCTACCTTTGAGTCAGGGCGGGAGTCCTGGATGAAGCAAACAGTTAAGCTAGACTAACTGAAGGGTTGGTGATTCAAACCCACCCAGAGGCATCTCAGAAGAAAAGCCCGATGATCCAAAAGATCACGGCTTTGAAAACCCCATGGACCTACTCTGACATGCATGGGGTCATCATAAGTCAGAGTCGACTCGATGACAACTCTTTTTTGTTTTTGAGTCAGAGTTGGCCTTGTGACCTGACCCAGCTGGTAGAATGTGCCAGAGGTAACGAGTGCCAGTTCCCAGTCTAGGACTACTAGGCCTTCATGTTTCTGCTTACTCTCTTGGGACGCTGCCCAGCTGCTGTGATAACAAGTCTGGGATGACCCTGCTACATGATGACAGACACATGTCCCTAGTCACTTCAGCCAATAGCTGGCCATAGATATGTTTGTGAGGTCACCCTAGACCAGCCAGCTCTCTACCAACCCACTGGCTGACTACAGATGCATGAGTGAGCTCAGTCAAGTTTTCCTGGAAACGGCCCAACTAAATAAAACCACCCAGGTGACTCATAGGCTTGTGAGCAATAATAAAAATTTTTAAGTCACTAAATTCTGAAGTGGTTTGCTACACAGTGATTGCTAACTGATAAATTCATCTCTGGCCCTAAACCATGATTTTTCATGTGTCGGGTGTGAAGACCCTCAGAGGACAAAGGCGTATCCTACTCCCTCCCCACTCCCACTGCATCCACCACAATATGGAATGCCATGCTTAGCTGTGCACAGTGGGAATGTAGCCAGGCTCTGCTGCTGGATGGCATTGAAACCCGGTCACTTGAGTAATCTTTGAAAAGAAGGCCCAGTGGGGAGCAGGGGCAGATAGGGCAGACAGGGCTGTGAAAGAAAGGGCAGGCCATAACTGTCTTCCTGTGTTTGTTCCAAGCTGTTCAATGTGTCTCCAAAGGGCAGAGTTTTATGGGGGAAGAAGTGTTCAACACTGTTATGGATTGAATCATGTTCCCCTAAAATATGTGCAGGAGTCCTTAACCCTATACTTGTGGATGTGGTCCCATTTTGGAACAGGGTTTTCTTTGTCGTATTAATGGGCCATGTCTGTTTAACATGTGTCCTAAACCTAACCACTTTTGAGTTAAAAAAAGAGCAGATTGGACACAGAAGTAAGCCCATACTAGGGAAGACAGATGCCATGTAAGGATCCTCTACAAGCTAAGGAACCAAAGAACACGAGGGCTATAGACAAGGAAGGGACCAACAAGGCCAAGACTCTAATGTGGGCATTTAGCCTCCAGAATTGTGAGAAAATAAACTCGTGGTCTTTAAAACCACCCTCTTGTGGTATTTGTGTTGCAGCAGCACCAGGAGGCCAAGACAAGCACAATGGAGAGGAAGCTCATTTTCTAACCATTCAGGTAATGAGCTCCCTGGTTCTAGAGGCATGTAAGCAGAGGCCTAGGAGCCTCCACTTGGCAGAATGAGAAAACTAATTGGGAGTTTTAGCTAAGTAGCCTTGGACGTAGATAGCTCTGGGTCATGTTCACTTGCGCATGAATGCATAGAAATGTTCTCAAAGGCCAATTGTTCAAACTATTGATCTAGACTGTCTCTCACGGGTGATGTGGAAATTCTTTGGTCTACTTTTGGTTCAAGGAAACAGGGTTCCCGTCATCTCATCTGTCTTTGAGGTTGTTTATCTCTCCAGTATTCTGCTGGTGGAAACCCACTTCTCCTTCCTGTCCTTGGGGAGGATGAGTCCTCTTCCCAGGACCTCTCTGTCATCCCCTCCCCTCCTCTCCAGCTTCCCTGACCACCTCTCCCCCCACCCTAGGCCACATGACTGTATCCCCAGGGGACTTGGCTGTGAATAGTCACACTCCCATGATTACCCTTTCCCAAACAGGCCACCATACTTCCTCATGCACATGTGGGCAATGGAAATGTTAATTGCAACATGATGTGGAGTTTCTATCCCAAGGCCCTGTACACACTCCTCAAAGCCCTGGGTTCATAGAGACTCAGGGAGGCAGTTGGATCTCAAAGTTCCAAGGGCCTGGGGCCTAACAGTGATGATTCTAATGAAGCCCTCTTCCCTGTCAGGAGACTTGTTCCTTGTTGGGGTTACAGCTCAGGAGCTTAACTGTCTCACTTCATTGGGAATTGATCCTGCCTTTGTCCACATTACTGTTGATGTGTATTTGGCGAAGAACAAAGCTTTTTCTTGCGATATTTTTTGGTTCCATCCAGAAAAGGACTCTAAGAAAAGGTCAGTGTTGAGGTCCCAGAGTAGCTCTTTGAACGACTCCCAGGAGGGAAAACTAACAGGATGGTGAAAAGCCCTGGGATGGATTTTCAGGATTAAGGAAGTTGGGGCAGGAGGAGAAAGGATATAGGAGCTTATAATTCCTCATCTTGACATCTAGGTTGGTGTTTGTCAACTCTTAAGAAGCTGCTGATGTTGAGAGAGCCTCTTGGAAGGGGTGCTGAGAGTTGCTGGGGTGGATTGCTCATTAGTCACTAATTTTCAGTGTTTAGAAATGAGGGAGAGCCCTTCTTAACAAAGTGTATTAGTTATCTATTGCCATGCAACCAACTACCACAAACATAGCAGTCTGAAACAACACATATTTATGATCTTGCAGTTTCCATGGGTCAGGAGTCCTGGCATGGCTTAACTGGGTTTTTTGCTCAGGGTCTTACAAGACTGCAGTCAAGGTGTTGGCCAGACTGTGTTCCTTTCTGGAGCTTGGAGTCCTCTTCGAAGCTCACGTGGTTGCTGGCAGAATTCAGTTCCTAGTTGTTGTAGGACTGAGGCCTTTAGCCCCTAGAGGCCACCCACTGTTCCTTGCCATGTGGCCCTCTCCAAAGGCAGTTTACATCATAGCTGTTGTCATGAATTGAATTGTGTCCCCAAAAACATGTGTCAACTTGGCTAGGCTGTGATTCCCACTATTGTGTGGTTGTCCTCCATTTTGTGAAGCGAGTTTCAGGTTCCAACTGCACTCAAGGGGAGGAAACTATACAAGGGCATGAGTCACTGGGGGTCATGTCAGGATGTGTCTGCCACACCAAATATTTTATAAATCTTGTTTATCTTAAAAGAGCTCGAGGAAGAGATGGCAGAAGCAGCAATAGACTCAAATGAGGAGGTGTCAAAGGAAACCGAGGACCTAGGCTTTCTTGAACAAGTTGATGGAGGTAAGGAAGCCACTAACTCCTTGAGGGTGTGTCCCAGTCCAAGCCTCAGTTTCTCCATCTTTACAGTGGAGATGAAACTCCCTACCAATCACAGATAGGAAAGTTCTTGCCGCAGGTAAAGCTTGAGCCATGCAGGTGCAGGAGAGGCCAGGGGCACAGGAATACCTCCTGTAATGGCCATCTCGACACCGCACCTGTGGCATCTTTGTTTCAGGTACTTTCCAACAAGTCACGAACCTCCTGAATATCATGGAAAGTGAGTCAGCAAAGTCGGACGTTGCATGGGCAGGCCCTGACATGCGGAAGACCCTGGCCTCAGTGATAATCACTGAGAAGGCCAACAGCAAGCCCTCCGTGGTGATGAATGCTCTCATCCGCTGCCTGCAGATGCCCGAGGTAGGGCCTCTCAGCTGCTGGCCTCTCCTCTGAGCTCAGCCACTTTGGGCTGTTTGTGCATCCACCCACCACTCAGCATGGGGCCAAGGGCTGTGACACAGACGGCAAGACCATGAGGATTTTTACTCCTTTAACAAAAAAAAAACCAAACCAAACCAGTTGCGGTCGAGCTGACCTTGACTCATGGTAACCCCATGTGTCAGAGTAGAACTGTTCTCCACAGGGTTTTCTTTTTTAATAATTTATTTTATTTTTGTTGTTGTTGTTGAGAATATACACAATAGAACATACACCAGTTCAACAGTTTCTACATGTACAATTCAGTGACATTGATTACATTCTTTGAGTGGTGCAACCGTTCTTACCCTCTTTTTCTGAGTTGTTCCTTCTCCATTAATATAAACTCGACTGCCCACTAAGTTTCCTATCTACTGTTTCCGTTTGTTCCTATCAATGTGGCCTCACACAGATAGACCCTAAGGGAGCATAATGCTTAAGGCAGACATCCTTTACTAGTTGAGCTAAACTACTGTTTAGCTTTAAGAAGACTTCAGGGGATAGTTTCGGTTTAAGGTTTGTCTCAGTTATCTAGTGCTACTATGACAGAAATATCACAAGTGGATGGTTTTAACAAACAGAAGTTTATTCTCTCACAGTCTAGGAGACTAGAAGTCCAAATTCAAGGTGCCAGCTCCAGGGGAAGGCTTTCTGTCTGTGTTGGCTCTAGGGGAAGGTCCTTGTCATCAGTTTTCCCCTGATCTAGGAGCTTCTCAGCTCAGGGACCCTGGCTCCAAAGGATGCACTCTGCTCCTCGCTATCACTGCTTGGTGATAGGTGGTCCCTCTTCTCTCTGCTCTCTTCTTTCTTTCATATCTCAAAAGAGATTGACTCAAGAAATAACCTAATCCTGTAGATTGCATCTTGCCTCATTAACATAACTGCCTCTAATCCTGCCTCATTAACATCATAAAGATTAGGATTTACAACACATAGGATAATCACAGCAAATCACAAAATGGTGGACAAACACACAATGCTGGGAATCATGGCCTAGCCAAGTTGACAAACATTTTTGGGTGACACAATTCAATCCACAACAAGATCTAAAGATTATCTCAGGGCAATAGTTTCAGGGGCTCATTTATCCTTCATGGCTCCACAAAGATTTTCAATGGCAGAATTTTTGAAAGTAGATTACCAGGCCTTTCTTTCAAGGCACCTCTGGGTGGACTCGAACTACCAACCTTTAGGTTAGGAGTCCAGCATGTTAAACTTGGTTAACTCCTCGGTACTCCTCTTATTCCTTGAGGGCCAGTTGAATCAGAATCCCTGGAGGGGGTGGGGCCTGGAGCTTCCATAATTTTGAAAAGATTTCCTAAATTCTGACACAGTGGGTTTGGGAGCCACCATCCTAGAGCCTGTAAGCTTCGTTACAAAGATGTTGAGCAGGAGTCAACCAGGTGGACTGGGGGTGCTAAGACACGCCAGATGCAGAGACAGCACGTGACAAGACAAGGGTGTTGGAAGTAGATAAGCAGGCCAATGAGGAGACTGTCAAGCTAAGGTACAGGATGTTGAAGGAGTGATGGAAAATGTAACCTGAGATCATGGGAGGCCTTGTATGAGAGGGCGGTGTTAGGACCAGTGGTTCTCACATTTACATGTTCCTTGGAAGCACCTGGAGGGCTTGTTAAACACAAATTCCTGGGCCCCACCCCCAGAGGTTCTGATTCATTAGGTCTACAATCAGCATTTCTAACAAGTTCCCAGGTGATGCTGATGCTGCTGGTATAGGGACCACATTTTGAGAATCTCTGGATTTAGGACTACCCCTTAGCCTTTAGGGGTCCCTGGGCAGTGCAAATGGTTAATGTGTTTGGCTGCCAATGAAAAGGTTGGCAGTTCGAGTCCACCCAGAGGTGCCTCAGAAGAAAGGCCTAGCAATCTGCCTCTGAAAAATCAGCCACTGAAAACCCTGTGGAACACAGTGCTACTCTGATGCACATGGAGTTCAGGAGTTTTCATAAGGATTCTGTGTTTGAATTTTTAGAAGCTTCTATTATTTGCTATCCCAAGACTAGGAAACCAAAACCAAGATTTCATCTGTAAAATCTATAAATTTGTGCAAATTCCCCCGTTCTCAGATACCCCAAATTTGCTAAGGTGGCTGAACTGTCAGGAAGTGACCTTCTTGACCACCTGAGGGGGCTGGCCATTTTCCCAGAGGGCTTTGCAGGCCCATTATGTAAAGTCAACCTTTGTTCCCTAAAAGTGGCTTGTCATGCCTGATTACATGGGAGTCATTCGCAAAAGTATGACTTTTCAGATATAGCCTTGGTTAGATCACCGATTTGTCCAATTGTATCCTAAACCAGGTAATTTTAAATAATGATAAGTGCTATGCAAGAATCAAAATACAGTAAGAGGCAAGTCTTCTCGTTACAAAAAGGCAGGGTGAACTTACTGTTATGGATAGAATTGTGTCCCCCAAAAATGTATGTCAACTTGGCTAGGCCATGATTCCCAGTATTGTGTGGTTTGTCCACCATTTTGTGATTTGATGTGATTATCCTATGTGTTGTAAATCATAACCTCTATGATGTTAATGAGGGCAGGATTAGAGGCAGTTATGTTAATGGGGCAGGATGCACTCTACAGGATTAAGTAGTATCTTGAGTCAATCTCTTCTGAAATATAAAAGAGAGAATCAAGCAGAGTGGAGAGGGACCTCATGCTCCTAAGAAAGAAGCGCAGGGAGGAGAGTGGTCCTTTGGACCCAGGGTCCCTGCGGTGAGAAGCTCCTAGACCAGGTGGAGCTTGATGACAAGAACCTTCCCCTAGAGCTGGTGCCCTGAATTTGAACTTTTAGCCTCCTAGACTGTGACAGAATAAACTTCTGTTTGTTAAAGCCACCCACTTGTGGTATTTCTGTTATAGCAGCACTAGATAACTAAGACACTTACCTTCTTGGGCTTTCAAGACTGTCAACGCCAAGTTTATGGAAGATCTTGTGTGTTGACCATCTGAAACCTGCCTTGCTGAATATGTCAGACTGGAAATGGAAGACAGAATGGATTTACAGGGCTTGTTGATAGGAGCAGCCATATGAGTTGGATGGAGAAGGAGAAGGAATTGGAGATGGAGGAGTCTGGATCTGTGGCTTGGGTGGTTTTGTGGGTGGCAGTTGCATTTACCAAGACGGGGTATACAGAAGGAGGCAGTGGGAGGGAGAAGGTGATGAATTGTAGCTAATTGGACTTGTGGTGCTGGGGCAGGGCTGGGTCCATCCCCAGGCCCCACTGCCCAATTCTGGGGATCTTCCCACCTGCCATGTTGTTTCCCAGATTTCCATCCAGCGCAAGGTCAACATTTACAACATCCTCCAGGAAATCATCCAGCAGGAAGGGGAACTGGAGGAGCAATGTGTCCAGAGGCTGGTCACCATCGCCTCCAAGGAGATGAGGGAGACCTCAGAGGTAGTAGAGCCCTGAGCTCTGTCGGTGGCTCCCCTCCTGCTCGCCCAGGAGCTGGGCTATTGGGCCTGGCTAGGGATGCTTGTGGCCCTTGTCCAGTTACCCTGAGCCCGGGGCAGTCCAGCAGGGGTGGAGGGGGCGTGGCGTAGGAGGGTTTTTATGAAAGCCTACAGCTGATGGTGGTGCCGCACATCCCTTTCCCATCTCTTTGCAGACGGAAGGCTACGTGAAGGCAGAGGTGGCCAGTGACACCCTGGTGGCTCTGTCCCGAAACCACTTTAGCTTGGTCATGTATGAGCTGCAGCACCACCTCAAGCCCCTCAACCTCACTGACGAGTTTGTCATCGTCACCTTGGCCAAGCTGGCCAATGGCAATGGTAGGAGTTTCTTGACAGTCCTCATGTTCCAGTTTCCAGCCCCTTCAGGCCAGTCCAGTGCTCCCTCATGGTCTCTGCCTCTCTCCATCTCTGCCTCTGTCTGTGAATGTCTGTCTCTTCCCCACCCTTTCCGTTTCTTTCTTCTCATCTTTCTCTGCCATTTTTTCCATCTCCATATGCTTTTTTTCTCTCTCAGTGTTAAGATCGTCTCTCTGTTTCTGCCTTTCATTTGTGTCTCTGTTCCTCCGTCATTCCATCTCTCTGTGTCTCTCTCCATCTCCCCTATCCCCCTCTGTCTTCACTGCTGTCTTCATATCTCTCTCTCTGTTCTTATTTCCTCTCTGTCTCTCCTTTCTCCTTCATTCCACAAACATGTACTAAACTCTTGTTCCGTGCTAGGCATTGTGGTAGGTGCTGGGCTACAGCAGTAAATAAAACATGCATTGTCCCTGCTCTCATAAGGGACCATAAACAAGAAGTGATTATGAGATGACGCATATGAAGAAAATAGGTAGGCAGCTCTCTGAGATCAGGATGGAGGAGGGGGCCTCATCTCTGTAGGGCCCTCAGCAAGATAGCAATGTTTCAGCTGAGATCTGAAGGCTGAGAGGAAGATATCCCTGTGGAGAACGGGATGTGGGGAGAGGAGAACATGCCACATGGAGACAACATCATGCGCAAAGGCCCTGGGGCAGGAAAGAACTTTGTTTCTCTGAAGAACCGAGGTCATTGTGGCTGGAGTTAGAGAGTGAGGGGAAGATGGGTGTAAAATGAGATTGGAGAACTAGGCAGAACCTAGTGGCCACGGAAAGGAGTCGGGACTTTATTTGAGGACAATAGGAAGCTATCGAAGGTTTTTAAGCTGCAGAGTCGATCAAATTTAGGCCCCAGGAAGACCATTCTGGCTGTGGGGATGGAGAACAGATGGGTGGTATGTAAATGTGAGGAGATGGTGACTTGGGCTGGGACACATTTGGTGAGAGTTGGTCACCCGTGAGACAAGATGGAGCTCCAGTAGACAGGACTTGTTGATGAGTTGTGTGTGGGAGGTGAAGGAAGGCATAAATCGACAATGGCTCCCAGAGAAATAATGTGCAGGGGTGAGGGGGCATATGGAAACTCTGTACTTTTCTGCACACTTTTTCTATAAAACCAAAACCTCTCTAAAAAATAAAGCCTACTAAAAAAAGAATGACTCCAGGTTTTGGGTTTGAGCAACTGGCTGTAGGATGGGTTCATTTCCCCAAATGGGAAAGACTGGGGTGGGGGGCAGGAAGAGGGAGAATCTGGGGATACAAGTAAAGATTTTTGCTTTGTATGTGTAAAGTTTGAATGGCTCGGAGATGCTTCAGTGGAGAGGTCAAGGGGGCAAGTGGTTGGTGGCTGCAGGGTTGAGAGGGCAGGACAGGACCTGGCATGGGATTGGGTGTCCTTGGTGTGTAGGAGTGTTGAAAGCTGTTGAAAAGCCTTAGGGTGCTTCCACCTAAGGAGTGAAAGTAGGGAGAGAAGAGAAGGGGACAGGGACCTAGCCCAGAGGAGATGACTTAGGAGGAATGTAAGAGTGTGGTGGCTGGTGGCCGGTGGCTGAGAGGAGGAGAGTACTTCAGAAGGAGCGGGTGGCCAGCTGCGGCCACTTCTGCTGAGGGGCTAGTAAGAAGAGGCTAGAGAAAGTGGTTGGTGAAGAGTTCCATGGCGGGCTGGGGGTGGAAGTTTGGATGGAGTGGGCTCAAGGGAGATGGGAGGAGGGGAAGTGAAGATGGGGTGTAAGGCAACTCAAATGGGATAGTAGCTGGAGGGGCATGCGGGGTCAAGGGGTGTCTAGGCCTGTCTGTGTGCTGATGGCAAAGACCCAGGAGAGAGGGACAGGTGCATTGAGTCAGAGACAGGGGGCCAGGCAGGAAAGTCAGGTCTGGGGGAAGGTGAGTGGGGCTCTGAAATGGGCAGAGGGGCCGGACTGGGGGCGGGGGAGCGACCCTGCCTCCTGTGGGAGGGTGAGTCTGTCACCGGATTCTCCTTCTTCCAGAAACTTTTCTCCCCCACTTCCATCTCTACATTTCCTTTCTTTCTCTGTTCTCTTTTCTCCTACTTGCCTGTCGCCTCAGTCTCTGCTCTCACACACAGGCGCCCTTGTTCTTCATTTGTCCAAGGACATCTAGGGGGCGCTCACAGGAGCCAGACACCTGCCCCAGGCGCTCACCCTCCGTCTCTCCTTCTTCCCACTTTCAGCCTCTCCCCCTCTCTTCTGGGGCGCTGTGTGTCCACTCTTTCTGGGCATCTCTTGTTGCCTCTTCTTTCTCCTTCCATCCCTGCCTCTTCTCTCCTTCTCCTCTGTTTCCGGTCCTCGTCTCTCCTCACCCGTTTCTAGTTCAATCCTTTCCCTGGCTCCCAATGTCCTGTGACCCCAGCCCAGCAGAGGGGCTCCCTCGCTCTGGACTGTGGGGGCTGCAGGTATGGGCTTCGAGGAAGACGGGAGGAGAGAAAGTGAAGGCAACTGGCCGTGAGGGGGAAGAGAAATGGGACGGCAGCTGGAGGGGTGTATGGGGTCAGGATGGGGCGGGGAGCGGTTGTCCTTCGTCTGCTCCCGGTTGACCCTCGACCCCCATCCCCGCAGTGTTCGAGTTCATGCCGTACATGGGCATCACCCTGGCAACCATATTCACAATGCTGAGACTTGCCAGCGAGGCCAAGATGCGGCAGGTGATCTGTGGGGGTGCGTGTCTTGCCCGGCCCTGGAGCGGAAGTGGGGCAAGAAGCAGGCGGAAGGGTATAGAACAGGAGGGGCACTGTCTGTGACTCTTCACTCGTTCTGAAGCATTTGCTCCATCTCTGACGTTGTGCGGCTCGGGGGAGAGGGGTGTGTGCCTTTTAGAGACCATAGCTAGAGGGAGGAGGCTGTGCCTGCGACCCGTGGAGTTGCTGTGTGGTTACACCTTTCCCAAGAAGACCCGGGAAGTGCGGCGGGGATCACGGGAGAGGGAGACAGGGCAAATGTCTCCATCACGGGCTTGATTTGGGCGGGGCTTCCATGCTATTGGAGCCCTGGTGGTGCGGTGGTTAAGAGCTCAGCTGCTAATCAAAACGTCAGCACTTCGAATCCACCAGCTGCTCCATGGAAACCCTGTGGGGCAGTTCTACTCTGTCCAACGGGGTCGCTCTGAATCGGAATCCACTCGATGGCAACGGGTTTGGTTTTAAGGGGGCCATGCTACTTTAGGAATCCTTGGATGGTGCAAAAGGTTAACATGCTCGGCTGCTAACCGAAAGTTTGGAGGTTTGAGTCCACCCCAGAAGTGCCTTGGAAGAAAGGTCTGGCAATGTACTTCCGAAAAACCAGCCATTGAAAACCCTACGGAGCACAGTTCTACCCTCAAACACATGGGGGTGCCACGAGTCGGGGTCGACTCTATGGCAACCGGTTCAGTGCTGTCTACTGGGGCAGTGGTGGTTCAGTGGTAGGATTTTCTTCCTTCCATGGGGGAGACCCGGGTTCAATTCCCAGTCAATACACTTCATGCACAGCCACCACCCATCTGTCAGTGGAGGCTTGTGTGTTGCTATGATGCTGGACAGGTTCAGCAGAGCTTCCAGAGTAAGACAGACTAGAATGCAAGGCCTGGGGATCTACTTCCGAAAATTAGCCAATGAAAATCCTATTGATCACAACGGTGCCATCCGCAACCCACTAAGGGGATGACGCAGGACTGAACAGCTTTTCATTTCATTCTGCGTGGACTGGCTGAGTCGGGGCCCACTCAGCGGCAGCTGACAACAACATTGAAGTTATTTGAATCTGATCACCTTGCCCAGGATTTGATTACTTATGTGTTTGTGGATTAAAAACCCCTGATAGCTGAGAAGAGAGGACAAAGTGTGTTTGTAGCTTGAGCACCCTGGGGTGTGGGTAAAGATTCATATTCCAGGCCCCACGCTTGACCCCTGCATTAGTACCTCGAAGGGAGGGGCCGGACACCTGCCTGCTTAGTACCCTGTCTTGTGGGTTCTTATACACACAGACCTGCAGGATAAAAACTGCGGAGTTGTGAGAGGGATGGAGGATGGGAGGGGAGAGAGGCAGGGACGCAAGGGAATTTTTCTAGCTGCGTATTTGGCCCTCTGTGGACACGGGAGAGCCTTCCCCTGGGAGGAGGTGGCTAGTAAGTGTCCCTCTGCTTCACCCCTGTGGCGGCAGCCATGGAGACCTTCTGTGAGACAGTGCAGTTCTACCTGAGACACCTAGAGGACAGTGTGTACCCTGTGATGACTGAGGAGCAGTTTGCCATGAAGCTGTTCCCCATGTACCGGTACTTTGTGACCGTGTGGCTGCGGAACGACGACTCCGAGGTAAGATGTGTACCTTGTTAGAGAACCCTGGATCCCCCAGGCCACGATGCCTGGCCTGAGGGGCTGGAAGGACCAAAGAGGTGGCTTGCCCCAGCCTCTGTCCCGGGGGACAAGTGGGAAGACCGAGCCCAGGGAGGTGGGGACCTGGTCAGTGGCTGATTGTGATGAAGGCCCGCGGGGCATTACTAGGTGGTGCCGAGGGCTCGGTGGTAACTCCGAGAGCGGGTCCTAGGGCACCTGTTGGGTACCACGTGCTCTTCTGAGCAGCTTACCTACGTGAGCGCCATGATATAGGACTACTAGTGCCCACCCCCATTTTACAGGTGGGGAAACTGAGGCATGGTGTCTCCGTTTCCAGGGGCTGCAGTAACAAAATACCACAAAGCAGGTGGCTTGAAACAACAGAAATTTATTGTCACACAGTTCTGGAGGCCAGAGTTCTGAAAACAGTGCCTCAGCAGGGCTGTGCTCCCCGTGGGCTCTAGGGGGAGATCCTTTCTCGTCTCCTTCAGCTTCTGGCAGCCCTGGGCGTTGCTTGGTGTTCCTTGGCTTGTCGATAGATCCTCACATGCAGGCTTCCCCCTGTGTGTGACTCTGCTTCTGTGTCTGTCCTCTTTTATAAGACACCAGTCTGAAGGGATTAGGACTAACACACCTTCCCTACCCCCACCCCCACCTTAGTACAGCCTCGTCTAGCTTAACTGATAACTAAAGAAAAACTCTATTTCCAAACAAGGTCATGTTCATAGGCACGGGGGTTAGGACTTCAGCATACCATTTTGGGAGACACAGTTCAACCCACAGTCACCTGGCTAGTAAGTGACAGTGCTGGGACCCCACCTGCTGGGCCTCGGGCAAGGTTCAACTCTACTTCTGAGTCCCTTTCTGTCATGTGTCCTTTGACCTGATGGGCCAGGCTGAGATCAGTGGCCTTGCTGAGGGTCCGGGAAGATGAGTCTGAAGGCCCCATGTCCTGGTAGGTCAAGCTGGGGGTCATCAAGTCCCTGAGGCCCATGCTGAACCTCCTGCTGCCCAACGATGACCTTCGGGAGCAGGTCTACGACTACATCCCCCTGCTGCTGGCCGAGTACCAGGGCAGCCTGGAGGCGCTCTTCATCACCCAGGTGAGGGGGCCATCCAGGTGAAGGGGCCACCCAGGTGAGAGGGGCCACCCAGGTGAGGGGACTACCCAGGTGAGGGGGCCATCCAGGTGAAGGGGCCACCCAGGTGAGGGGGCCACCCAGGAGAGCGGGGCCACCCAGGTGAGGGGGCCACCCGGGTGAGAGGGGCCACCTTTCTGAGCCCCAGGCCCTGGGCTGCCTCCTTCATGCTCTGAGCTCAGCTTGGGAGACTTGGGCCTCCCTAGTGCCGGGGGTAGTGTCCTCTGGGTGGATATTGTGGTGTCAGCAGACCATGCGGGGCTGTAGGACCTGGCATTCACAGGGTTTTGTGGAAAATGAACACCACCATTCCACGCAGAAGGTGCAAGATCCTGAAGGGCCTTTGAGGCCTCGGTGAGGTCGTGAGATGGAGCTGTGGCAGGTTGTGAGCCAAGGAGTGACCTGGGCTCAGGTCATAAGGGGTCCCTTAGCCTCACAGAAGGCATGGTCCTTGGCTGTAAAAGCAAGGCACGGGAGTGATGTGCTTGATGTATGAGCCATCTGTAGATGAATCTGGCTGAAAAACAGGGTTCACATCCAGGTGAGCAGGAGAGAAAGCTGGGAAAGGCCTTGAATGCCGAGCTCAGAGGCCTACACAGGGCTTTCCAAGCTTTACTGTGCTTCAGAATCAAGGGGGCTCGTTAAAATGCAGAGTCAGCTCATCGGCCTGGGGTGGGGCCCCAGAGAGTGCATTTCTGACCAGCCCCAGGGGGTGCTAGTACAGCCAGCCCTCAGACCACCTGCACAGCAAGGACGGTATCTGGACCCCAGTAGGTGGGCGGCAGTCTGCCAGCACCGGCCCACCCCTTGCAGGTCCTGAGGCAGATCCTGGAGGTATCAGTCATCACCAGCACCCCTGTCCCCCAAATGCAGCTGCACACCATCTTCACGGAACTGCACATCCAGGTGAGGCTGGAAGCTGGGCTGTTTGCTGCATTCTCAGGGTGGACCTTGGGGGGTGAGATGGCAGCAAGCCATCCAGCTGGGTGCACCCCCCACGCTAGCGTCCCCTGTCTGGCTGTGACCTCACCCCCTCTCTGCCCGCCCCACCCCTCCCCCCAGGTGTGTGCCAAGGCCCCAGCCCAGCAGCAGTACAGCAGCCAGAATCTGACGGAGATTGTGCACTGCTTCATAGCCCTGGGTGAGGCTCCCCTACCCACAGGATCTGCTGGGTGCTCTAGGCTGCCCGGCCCCTCTGAGCTTCAGGCCCTGGGCTGCCTCCTTTGTGGGCCCAGTGGGCGTGATGAGAATGGTCCTTTCCCCCGCAGCCCGCTCCTACCCCAAGGAGCTGATGAAGTTCTTCCTCAGCCAGATGGAGATGAGCAAGGAGGCCACCCGTGTGGGGACCCTGACCCTGATCAGGGCCGTGGTGAGCGCAGATGGTGAGCCATGGCCGGGCAGGGGCAGGGTGGGCAGTTAGCGGAGGTGGTTTACCCTTGTCTGGGCCCGTCCTCTCTTTTATAGACACTACTTGGGTGGGCCAGGGAGCCAAGAGTTCTTGGTTGCTTCCTATCTTCTACCCTTGGGCAGAGCCAGCATTGTGACCCCGGTCCTCTCCTTAAACTGTGAAAGCCAGCTTCCAGCTGAGTCTGAATTTCCTAGTACCAACCCAAAAAGCTAAACCAAAGGCTAAATAAAACCCAAAAAACCTGTTGCCGTTGAGTCGATTCCAACTCATAGTAACCCTATAGGATAGAGTAGAACTGTCCCATAGGGTTTCCAAGGAGCGCTTGGTGGATTTGAACTGCTGACCTTTTGATTAGCAGCCGAACTCTTAACTACTATGCCACCATAGTTTCTCAAAGGTTGAATATAAGGCCTAATTATAACATGTAGAGGAGCCCTGGTGGCACCGTGGTTAAGCCCTTGCTAACTGAAAAGTTGGTGGTTCGAACCCAGCCAGCGGCTCCAAAAGAACTGGCAATCTGCTTCCATAAAGATTACAGCCTTGGAACCCCTGTGGGCAGTTCTACTATGTTCTGTCGGGTCGCTTTGAGTTGGAATAGACTCAATAGCAATGTTTTTTTATTTTTGGTTTATTAAGTGTAGCAAGATAGTATGGAACAGTGTATCATGATCTCAGTTATGTGAAATAAATCTATATTTATTTATGCATAAACAGGCTTAGAAGGGCATACCTAAGCTGTTAATAATTTAATTTTGCAATAAACATATGTTATTTTTGTAATCAGGAGTCCCTGGGTGGCACAAACAGTTAAGCACTCGGCTGCTAACCAAAAGGTTGGCGGTTCGAATCCACCTAGAGAAGCCTCGGAAGAAAGGCCTGGTGGTCTGCTTCTGAAAGATCACAGTCACTGAAAACTCTATGGCGTGCAGTTCTACTCTGAAACACACAGGGTTGCCGTGAGTCAGAACCAACTAGACAACAGCTGATTTATTTATTTAATATGATTAGAAAAAAAATCCATTCTGGAGATAAAGACTCTGAATTGTAACAGTTTCCCGCTGACGTCTGACAAACTGCCACTTTCTACCTAGCCCCATTTGCTCAGATTCCCGCACTAGTGTTGCCTTCAAGCAATGCCTAGCCTTGAGCGCAGCAATTCCATCTCTCTAGAACCTTCTCACGGCTCTCTGCCACCTTACTTTATCTCTCCTTCTTTAATGGGGTATGCCATCATCAGTTCTATGACTAGCAAGCACCGATACAGTGCTTAGCATGTGCCAGGCCCTGTGTTAACTCATTTCGCCCTCACAGCACCTCCGAGAGGGACGGACCATTATTTTCCCCACTTACAGCTGAGGAAACTGAGGCACACAGGGGTGAAGTAATTCTCACAAGGTCACACGGTTGGGACGTGGCAGAGCCAGAATTCAAACCCGGGCAGCCTGGCACCAGAGTCCCTGCTCTTCACAGCTGTGCTTCGCAGCCTCCCTGTGCCCCCACTGTGGGCGCAGAACTGAGTTCCCAGCTGCAGGGGGACAAAGGAGACCTTAGGCCACGACCCTGCCCTCGAGGGCAGTCCTACCCGCTTCTCATAAGGCATGCACACGAGGCAGCAGCCAAAGGAGCGAGGCATAAAAACAACCCCACCTGCGCCAGGGAGGAGGGCTGTGGTGGGTGCTGTGAGGAGAGTGAGGTGACAGCCTGGTCGGTGGCCCCTGAGGGAAGCACCCCAGAGCCTGTGGCTGGCGAGTGGGAATGTTGGAGCAGAAGAAGGCTCTCCCTGAGGCTGTGAGGACAGTCACCCAAGGTCTCGCTGAGACTCCTCCCTGAGGAAGACGGCCTGCGGGGCCCGAGGAGGCACCGATCGTGCTCCGGGGCCACGCCTCTCCTGGGCCCTCTCCTCAGAGCCTAGCCCTGAAGCCGGCGGCCTCCAGGTGGGTTTTCCTCTTTCAGAGCCCAAAATGAATACGAGGACCATCCACCTGGCCATCAGGGTAGTCAAGAACACCCTCTCCGATACCAGGTCTAAGGTAACAGGGTAGAGACGGGGAAGTGGATGGGGCACAGGGGACACTCTGTTGGGACGTCAAGATTCGTGATACAGGTCCACCATCAGCCCGAGGCCTTCTCTGCCAGTCTACCTCTGTGCAGTGAAGGGCCCCGGCCGGCCTCCTCAAGCCAACACCGTTTTAAATTTTTTACTGTTGCAAATATATACATAACATGACATTTGCCAGTTCAACATTTTTTAGGTGTAACAATTTAGTGACATCAATTACATTAATCATGTTGTGCAACCGTCAACCATAATCATTGAAGCCAACACCTTGGATAGAAAGCCCAGCTTCCCACCCAGTACTGGGCAGATGGAGGGTAGTAAGTCTACTAAAAGCTGTGGTTCCCACTCTGGAGACCCCTTGCTTGCCTGGGACCTGGAGTTTCTGAATGATGAGTCTCAGGCATCACCTTGGACAGAGAGGAGGCCAAGCAAATCCAGCTTCGGCCACAGCCGCTCTGCTGCTTAGGGCGTTTATAGGATCTGACTTCAATTGGAAAAATGACTGAGGGTCCCCCCACAAATGCACAGTTAAAACCACTATTCCAGGCTGCATTGGCTGGCCCAACTTGGAGTGCGGCTGTGGTTCTGGGCTGCGGGCTCTGAGGGGTGCTGTTGAGCCACACGGGGGCGGGGACAGGGAGATGCTGGGTGGGGAGGGTCTGCACAGAGATTGTGAGGAAGAAGTTGAGGGGACAGAAGAATTTGGCCTGGGGATTTAGACAGAGAAAGGAAGAGAGAATAAGCTTGTTCTGTGGCGCCCCTACAGAGTCTCATGTGGTGAGCCCGAGGGTGCCCACAGTAAGAGGTGCTCTTCCTCACCAGAGCTTCCCAAAGATGAGCAGCCTGCATAGAGGGAATCAGCTTTGTGTCTCTAGGGTTCTGATGGGCTTCTGGGTGGGGGTGCTACAGGGCAGGGCCCCGTGAATGAGATGGGATGGGGAGTGGATAAAGTGGGCAGTAGCCTAGTGGCCCCTGGCCTCTTCCAGACCAGAGTGTCCCCAATTCCCAGCTGTCCCATGTCACCAGACTGGGTGTTAGGCACTGAGCCTCCTGCCCCTGGAGCCCACCCCAACCTTCAGCACTCCCACCACCTTGTCCCCTCAGGTGAGGATGGCCATTCTCCGCATCATAGGCCAGTTGGCACTTTCCGGCTACCAGGACAGGATCAAAGGCTGGGGCCTGAAGTACGTGTCAGTGCAGCTGACCTTGTCCACCTACAAACTGGTGAGTGGCCCCAACATGCAGACCCCTCAGCGGTTGGACTTTGGATGTGGTGTCCGCCAGCCTTGAGGAAAGCCAACCACACAGTCGGTGCACTTGTACTTGAGCTCACGTGCATACACGTCAGTGACACATGTACATAGACACACAACATGCTGGCAGGTAAAGGTGTGCACAGTCACAAGAGTTGTTGTTGCTGTTGTTGTTAGGTGACTTCAAGTTGGTTCCAACTCATAGCGACCACATGTACAACAGAACGACAACAGAAAAAAACCCTGCCCAGTCCTGCGCCATCCTCACAATCGTTGTTACACTTGAGCCCATTGTCGCAGCCATTGTGTCAATCCATTTGGTTGAGGGTTGTCCTCTTTTGCTGACCCTCTACTTGACCAAGCATGATGTCCCTCTCCAGGGACTGGTCACTCCTGATAACATGTCCAAAGTATGTGAGACTAAGTCGCCCTGTCTTTGCTTCTAAGGAGCATCCTGGCTGTACTTCCCAGACAGATTTTTTTTTTCTTCTGGCAGTCCGTGGTATATTCAGTATTCTTCGCCAACACCATAATTCAAAAGCATCAATTTTTCTTCAGTCTTCCATATTCATTGTCCAGCTTTCACATGCATATGAGGTGATTGAAAACACCATGGCTTGGGTCACGTGCACCTTAGTCTTCAAGGTGACATCTTTGCTTTTCAACACTTTAAAGAGGTCTTCTGCAGCAGATTTGCCCAACGCTGTGCTTCTTTTGATTTCTTGACTGCTGCTTAAATGGGTGTTGATTATGGACCCAAGTAAAATGAAATCCTTGACAACTTCAGTCTTTTCTCTGTTTATCATGATGATGTTGCTTATTGGTACAGTCGTGAGGATTTTTGTTTGTTTTTATGTTGCGGTGTAATCCATACTGAAGGCTGTAATTTTTGATCTTCATCAGTAAGTGCTTCAAGCGTGGTGTCATCTACAGATTGCAGGTTGTTAATGAGTCTTCCTCCAATCTTGATGCCCCTTTCTTTTTCATATAGTCCAGCTTCTCGGATTATTTGCTCAGCATACAGACTGAATAAGTATGGTGAAAGGATATAGCCCTGACACACACCTTTCCTGATTTTAAACTAAGCAGTATCCCCTTGTTCTGTTCGAACGACTGTCTCTTGATCTAGGTACAGGTTCCTCAAGAGCACAATAAAGTGTTCTGGATTTCCCATTCTTCGCAATGTTATCCATAGTTTGTTATGATCCACACAGTCCAGTGCCTTGCGTAGCCAATAGAACATAGGTAAACATCTTTGTGGTTTTCTCTGCTTTCAGCCAGGATCCATCTGACATCAGCAATGATATCCCCAGTTCCATGTCCTCTTCTGAATCTGACTTGAATTTCTGGTAGTTCCCTGTTGATGTACTGCTGCAACCACGTTTGAATGATCTTCAGCAAAATTTTACTTGTGTGTAATTATTAATAGTATTGTTTGATAATTTCTGCATTCTGTTGGATCACCTTTTTTTTTGGAATGGGCACAAATATGGATCTCTTACAGTCCGTTGCCAGGTAGCTGTCTTCTAAACTTCTTGGCATAGACAAGTGAGCACTTCAAGCTCAAACGTTTATTGAAATATCTCAAATGGTGTTCTGTCAATTCCTAGAGCCTTGTTTTTCGCCAATGCCTTCAGTGCAGCTTGGACTTCTTCCTTCAATAACATCGGTTCTTGATCATATGCTACCTCCTGAAGTGGTTGAACGTCGACCAATTCTTTTTGGTAGAGTGACTCTGTGTATTCCTTCCTTTTAATGCTTCCTGTGTTGTTTAATATTTTCCCTGTAGAATCCTTCAATATTGCAACTTGAGGCTTGAATTTTTTCTTTAGTTCTTTCAGCTTGAGAAATGCTGAGTGTGTTCTTCCCTTTTGGTTTCCTAACTCCAGGTCTTTGCATGTGTCATTACAATACTTTACTTTGTCTTCATGAGCCACCCTTTGAAATCTTCTGTTCAGCTCTTTTACTTCATCATTTCTTCCTTTAACTTTAGCTACTTGACATTCAAGAGTAAGTTTCAGAGCCTCTTCTGACATCCATTTAGGTCTTTTCTTTCCAATTTTTTTAATGACCTCTTGCTTTCTTCATGTCTGATGTTCTTGAGGTCATCCCACAGCTCCTCTGGTTTTCAGTCATTAGTGTTCAACGTGTCAAATCTGTTCTTGAGATGGTGTCTAAATTCAGGCAGGATACACTCAAGATTGTACTTTGGCTCTTGTGGACATGTTCTAATTTTCTTCAGCTTCAACTTGAACTTGCATATGAGCAATTGATGGTCTATTCCATAGTCAGCCCCTGGCCTTGTTCTAACTGATGATATTGAGCTTCTCCATCGTCTCTTTCCACAGATGGAATTGATTTGATTTCTGTGTATTCCATCTGACAAGGTACACACGTATAATTGTGGTTTATGTTGGTGAAAAAAGGTATTTGCAGTGAAGAGGTCGTTGGTCTTGCAAAATTCTATCTTGCGATCTCTGACATGGTTTCTATTGCCAAGGCCATATTTTCCAATTACTGTTCCTTTTTCTTTGTTTCCAACTTTCACGTTCCAATCATCAATAATTATCAACGCATCTTAATTGCATGTTTGATCAATTTCAGACTGCAGACGTTGGTTAAAACCTTCAGTTTCTTCATCTTTAGTCTTAGTGGTTGGTGCATAAATTTGAATAATAGTTGTATTAACTGGTCATCCTTGTAGGCATATGGGTATTTTCCTATCTGATGACGTTGTAGTTAAAAGCTTGGCTGCTAACCAAAAGGTCTGCAGTTTGAATCCACCAGCTGCTCCTTGGAAACCCTATGGGGCAGTTCTACTCTGTCCTATAGAGTTGCTATGAGTTGGAATCGACTCAACGGCAACAGGTAACGGATCCCGTTGAACTTCAGAATAGATCTTGATGTGTTCTTTTTGATGATGAACACAATACCATGCCTCTTCTTTTTGTCATTCCCGGCATAGTAGACCATATGATTGTTCAATTCAGAATGGCCAGTGCCAGTCCATTTCAGCTCGCTAATGCCTAGGTTATCGATCTTTATGCAATCCATTTCATTTTTGTTGATTTCCAATTTTCCTAGATTCATACTTTGTACATTCCATGTTCTGGTTATTAATGGATGTTTGCAGCTGTTTCTTTTCATTTTGAGTTGTGCCACATCAGTAAATGAAGATCCTGAAAGCGCGACTCCATCCATGTCATTGAAATTGACTTTACTTTGAGGAAGCAGCTCTTCCTCAGACACATTTTAAGTGCCTTCCAATCTGAGGGGTTCATCTTCCAGCACCATATCAGACAATGTTCCGCTGCTATTCATAAAGTTTTCAATGGCTAATTTTTTTCAGAAATAGACCACCAGATCCTTCTTCCTAATCTGTCTTAATCTGGAAGCTCAACTGAAACCTGTCCACCATGGGCAACCCTGCTGGTATTTGAAATGCTAGTGGCATAATTTCCAGCATCACAGCAACGCGAAAGACACCGCAGTACGACAAAGTGACAGATGCATGAGAGTCACAGGGGCAGGAATCTGAAATTCATGACAGAGACATGCATGTCTCTGAGCTTCTCAGGGACCCAGTATCTGGGCATCAAGCCCCATGAGAGTAAGGAGACCACAACCAAGACCACAGCAAGGCCCTGCCAACCCACAAACAGGGGCTCCTTTGTCTGTCTTCCAGACAAATCGCCGGGAGAGCTTTTATCAGAGAGACTTGGAGGAGAAGATGGTCCACAAAGTTACTATGGACACAGTGAGGATCATCACCTCCTCTGTCAGTGGGATGACCAATGTGAGTGAGTACTCCCCACACACACACACCTGAGACCAATATACTGGGACCAGTGGGCACAGCTCATGTCTGCACTGTGCCAGGCTCTGGGGGGAAGCGTGCATGCCCAGACTCCCCAGCTTTGCTTCTCCCATTCCTGCTGCCTGGGGTGCCTGGGGTGCCTTCCTCTTCTAACTGCCTGAGCTCTCACCCTTCAAGACCCAGTTACACAGCTGGGTCCTTAATGGAAACTTATTCCTTGTCTCTGTATCCCTAGATACTAGGGCAATGCCTGACACACAATAGACTTCAATAAGTATCAGGTGACTTATTGCCTGAAATGTGTTAGTTACCTTAAAGCACTTCCAGTCCAGGCAGGTAGGGAGTGGTGTAAAGAAAGGGTTTTAGCTGTTTAATTACACAACCATTTAGTGAGTTCCTACTAGGTGAAAGCCATGTGGGCTTACACTGATGGGATCCGGAGATAATACAGCCCCAAGGAGTTCACAGGTTGTAGGGGAAAAGAATGTGTCGACTTGTAACTGCAATAAAATGTACCATAGCAATAAGATAGGAAAAATTTACAAAGGCAGCATCGAGGAGGGAATAATAGTCCATTAAGTGAGGCCATAGGCCAGACACTTCCTGACCAGTGGTAGCTTACTTAGTTGCACAAATAGTGAGAATAATAATAGTAGCTACAGTCCATTGGGCATCTACCTGTAGCAGGTACTGTACTAGGGGTGCAACATGCAGAATCTCATTGAATTATTCCGACAATTCTATGAGGTATGTTCTCTTATTGTTACCTGATTTTTAGATGAGGAAATTAACGCTCAGAGGGATTCATTAGTTTTCCCAATACCTGATAACCAGTGGAGCCAGGTTAAAATGCTCTTTCTAACTCACCATGCTGCTTCTTGGGGACACCCAGAAGTTGGGGGATTCTAGTCCTGGCAGCTGGAACAGGTCAAGTTATTGCACTTGTTAGCTGGTAGTACAGGGGCCTCATCCCAAACTCTCAGGGATGGAGTGAGGAGAAGGGGGGCCAGGATTAGCTGGGGGTATTCAATGGCCATCCAAAGAGAGCCATGGTGGAAGAGGATGGTGAGGTGAGGAAGATGACACACACTGAAGGTGAAGAGCTAGAGACAAAGCTCCAAGGTCACAGCTCCAAGGTCTCCAGCAAGCACACATGGGCCATCTGCCCAAAGTGTGCTTCGAGAGGATTTGGAGTCAGAGGGAGGTCCCTGGACTAGAGGGCATGATGGGTGTGGGATTGGTGTGATGGCCGCAGGGACAGAGGGGCTCGGTGGAGGGCTTGCCAGACTCAGCAGGGACTAGCTGGAGCTGTCCCATGCCACATCAGGGTTGGTGGCACTTAGATGCCCTGACAAAGACCAGGGTTGACAGTGGAGCTAGTTCAGGGCCAAGGCAGTCCATGGGCAGACACTGTGGGTGGAGCCTGATGGCTCCCCTTGGATGGCCATGGGATGATGCCCCCAGCTAACCCTGGGCTCCTGTCCCCCTGCCTCCCCAGGAGTTTTGGGTGAGACTTCTGTGCTACATCATGGAGACAGACTACACGGAGGCCCTGACCCCCATCTGCATCAGCCTGACCAACCTGGCAGAACGTCAGCTCCACAGCAAGGATGTGGGGACCAACATGGCCAGCCGCAGCAAGCATGGTAGGCAGCTCCCAGGTTCAACGGATGGGGGCAGCCGGATGGCTGGCTCCATTCCTCAGAGCCACTCTCCTCATGCCCCCCACTCAGGGGCTCAGTCCTATCATGGCCCACTCCCCCGCGCCACACACACACTTGCAACTTCGCAAGAGGCATGGCTCATCCCTTGCCCGTTCATCTCAGGGCTGTGTGTTTGCTTGTCACAGCTCACCAACTCCCAAGGCCCTCATAGGGAGGCAGGGGGCAGGGAGGGGTGTCTAATTACTGTTGGCCCAAGAGCGGCCAAGTCTCATGGTAGGAGACAGAACATTGTCCTGAAGATCCTGGTGTCCACCACTTAATGGTGCTCTGAAAACAGCACCGTCTAAACCCTACCCCATTAATATGATTCTCCCTCTTCCCAGGATGAGTTGATTACACTGATGTCCTTTATGGGAAATCTCCTGAGCAGACTCATTCTCCATCTTGGGGGGCAACAGGGTCCTGGTGGGGGAGCCCCTTGCAGGGTGAAGCCCCCCTTGGAGCCACAAGATCATGTTCTAGAGGTTGCCTGTCCTTCTTTCCACAGTGGACCTGCCTGCACCACAGAAGCTGCTGGCTCGGCTCCTGGTGAGTGGGTCACATCAGGCAATGTCCCTGCCCTGGTCGAGGCCACATCCTGTGGTGCCGCTCCCTTGAGCTCCTAATTTCCCAGAGCTCCCAGAGGGAGGAGGGAGCCAGAGTCCACCAAGGGAGCTGGACACTAGGCAGTACAGAGCTTTCTGGGTCCCTGTCACCCCTCTTGGGTGTTTGTGGCAGGGGGCAGTATGCCCTTGGACAGCTGGGGACCTTGCAAGGATCTGTTCCCAGGCGAGGACCCCTAAACACCCCTGGGGTATTCCAATAGCCTGCTCCTGAGGTGGGATCAGTCCTTGACCATATGTCTGCACATTTATACTGACCATGGATGATAATACTTGCTCCCCTGAAGCCGGGGGTGGGGAAAGACCCAAGATGCTGCCCCTCCTCCCCCTTTCCTCCCTGCAGTGTCCTCTATGGGGGGCGCCCTCTGTCCCTGGGGATCCCCGGTGCTGTGTTTGGAAAGCACCCATTTCGCCCAACTCCTCCCTTTACAAGTGAGGACAGTGAGGCTCTGAGTCAAGGAGTGAGGTGCCTGGGCAAGACCCTACTTGAGCCTTGGTGCCCCACCAGGTGCTGATGTCATCCCCCTACAAGGGCGAGGGCCGCGGGATCGCCATGCTCAACCTCCTGCAGACCCTGAGCCAGAGCATCGCTCCCTCCATGGCCGACATGTGGGAGCTAGAGATCCCGCTGCTGGTTCAGTACCTGGAAGGTGAGGTACCCGGGGTGCACTTGAGCCAACTATCCCATGTCAGCCATCCTCTCCACCATCGACCACATGCCAACCATCCAGTCTATGCCATCCATCCCCTCTACACCATCCATCCACTCCATGCCAACCATTCCCTCCATGTCAGCCATCCACTCTATACCATCCATCCACTCCATACCAACCATTCCCTCCACACCAACCATCCCCTCCACAAAATTCATCCACTCTGTGCCATCCATCCACTTCACGCCAATCATCCCTTCCACACCAAACATCCACTCCACGCCAACCATCCTCTCCACTCCAAACATCCACTCCACGCCAACCATCTTCTCCACACCATCCATCCACTCCACATCAACCATCTCCTCCACACCATCCATTCACTCCACACCAACCATCCCCTCCACACCAAACATTCCCTCCACACCAAACATCCACTCCACGCTATCCATCCCGCCCACACCATCCATCCACTCCACACCAACCATCCCCTCCATGCCATCCATCCCTTCCACACCAACCCCCCTCCTCACCATCCATCCACTCCATGCCATCCATTCCCTCCACACCAACGATCCACTCCACGCCAACCGTCCCCTCTATGCCAACCATCCCCTCAACACCAATCATCTATTCCACACCAACCATCCCCTCTAAGCCAACCATCCCCTCCCTGTCAACCAACCACTCCAAGCCAACCATCCCTTCCATACCAACATGCAGGATCTGAGGCTCAGGTGGACCCATGAAGCCTATGTTTGTCTTGGGGATTGGCCAAGCCGGTGGGGAAGGTGGGGAGGGAAATGCTATGTATGATGGGCCCATCCATGGGGGGCCTCGGATGCCAGGCTGGGAGGCAGACCCCGAGGTGGGCAGCAGGAGAAAGCAGAGTGTGGTGCCTTTCTTTCTGCAGAACACACTGAATTCACTTGGAATCAGAAGACCTGGGAAGACAAGCTAATTCAGGTAAGGAGGTGATTGTGGCTGCTGAGGCTGGGTTTGAGGAGGAAATGGGGCAAAGATGGGTGAGCATTTGGCGAGGTTGGCATGTAGGAAGGTTAGGAGCCTCTAAAGGATATGCTCTCCTTCTGTCGGAGAAGACTGGGGAGTACCAAGCACGTCCATAGCTGTATCTATCAGTGGGGAGAATGAGGAGCACCTTCCACCCTGGGGAGATGAGCACTCCAAAAAGCAGCAGTTAGCAGACACCCCTCCTTCCAGCCCCCAAAGCCACAGCCACCCCCCAGACCTGCAGAACACACAGCACAGACTGGGGCTTTATGGATCGGGTGATCTAGAGACTGGGGAATGGTCCAGAGGGGCAAGCCACTACTCAAAGTCACGCAACATCCCAGCACCCTTGGTTCCACCCACTGACATCTCTGCTCCCCACCACCCTCAGTTTCTGAGAAACTCTATCAAGAAGACTCGGGGGTCCAGCTGGAGCCTGCGCCTGAGCAAGGAGCTGAACAACCAGATTGAGAGCTTTGACAGCCCCTCCCTAGAGAAGGTGCATCCCCACGGGGCAGGAGAGTTGGGATGGGGGAGGACTCTGGGGGGAACAGAGCAGACAGGGTCACGTGGTTTGTGACTGTCGACGGGGTCCTCAAGGAGAGGTGGATGGTCTACTATATTGTCTTCTAATACTTTTATAGTAGGATATTTTTATAATTAAAAAAATTGAATAGAGCAAGTCTTCCTAAGTCAGGGTATAAGCTAAACTGCTGTAACAGAGTCCCGGAAACACAGTGGCTCAAGCTAAACATTTACTTATTGCTCACATAACAGATGCTGGGCAAAATGTATCCCTGAGAATGGCTTACTAGTTGAGGCTTCTGATATGCTATCATCAAGAAGATGAGCCCCGGAATATGACTAAACCCCCCCAAAAACCAAACCCGTTGCCATCAAGTCAATTCTGACTCACAGCGACCCTATAGGACAGAGTAGAACTGCCCCATAGGATTTCCAAGGAGCGACTGGCGGATTTGAACTGCCGACCTGTTGATTAGTAGCTGAACACTTAACCACTGCACCACCAGGGCCTTGGAATATGACTACACAGTTTTCAATCCAGGTCCTACCGCTTCCTGGTTGTGTCACCTCCTTATACCTTATTTTCCTCACCTCTAAATACAGTAGTAGTATTTACCTTATAGACTTGTGATGAGGATTAAATGAGATGACACACGCTGGCTCTTATTATTTTTCTGAACATACAGTTATTACAAATAAAAAACATAAAATAAAAGGAGAAATAACCCAACAGAAAATGGGGAAGGAATATAGACAGAAATTCTAAGAGCTCAAATGGATCATTAAAATATAAAAAGATGATCAACATGACTAATGATTAAAGAAACACAAATTGCAAGGAGAATGTTCCAGCTCTCCTTGGTAAGACACTATGTTGGTGAGTATGTGGGAAAATGGGTGCTCTTAGATTTGTTGGTGGGAGTGTAAATTTGTTCTACTTTGGCGCAGTGGTTAAGTTCTCAAACCCACCAGCGTCTCCGCAGGAGAAAGATGTGGCAGTCAGCTTCTGTAAAGCTTTTCAGCCTTGGAAACCCTGTGGTGCAGTTCTACTCTATCCTGTAGGGTTGCTATGAGTCAGAATCAACTTGGCGGCAATGGGTTGTTTTTCGTTTGTTTGTGTTTTATTAAAGTTTATGGGAACAGTGGTGATTCAGTGTTAGAATTCTCGCCTTCTGTGAGGGAGACTCAAGTTCAATTCCGGGCCAATGCATCGCATGCACAGCCACCACCCATCTGTCATGGGGGCCTGCATGTTGCCATGATGCTGAACAGATTTCAACAGAGCTTCCAGACTAAGATGGACTAGGAAGAAAGGCCTGGAGATCCACTTCTGAAAAGTAACCTATGAAAACCCTGTGGATCACAACGGTCCGTTGTGCCTGTGGTCACCATGAGTTGGGGGCTGCCTTGACAGCTGCAACAAGAACAACAATTAAAATTTATAACATGCATGGTCATATATGGTCTGACCCTTCAGAATAACGTGAACACTTATTTTAAAGAACATACAAAAAGCAAAGATATTCGTGCATTTTTTGGAAAACCTAGAGGAGTATGTAGCGAAGTCCCACGGCAGTGACCCCACGGGCGGGAGCGGAAAGGCCTGACGGGCCGTTTCTTTCTCTGTCTGCCTCTCCAGGCCTTTCTGTACCGGGCTTTGGGCTTCACCCTGGCCACGGGCCTGGAGGCCGACAAGGTGGAGGTGCTGCTGTTGGAGCTGCTGTATAAGACAGACTACAGCAACGACTTTGACCGGGAGGTGCGGGCCGGCCTGGGGGGCATGGGCCTGTGTATGTGTGTGTGTGTGTGTGAGTGAGTGCAAGCGGGCGCTCCCCCGGCCCACTGCCCTCACCCTGGCTGGCTGGTCTCCTGCAGGGGGTCATCCTGTGCTTTGGCCTGTGTGCCCGGGGCCAGGTGAAGACGGTGTTGAACGTGCTGCACGACTTTGAGGAGCGGATCCAGGAATCAGAGCAGTCCTGGCAGATCGGGGCTTGGCGGGTAAGACCCCTGGTTCCAATAGCCAGGTCTCCGGGGTCTCTTGGAAGAGTCCTCAGCACCAGTCCTTGCCACCTAAGTGCTGCTGTAACGCGAACGCCACAGTGGGTGGCCTTAAAGAACAGACTTTGATGTTCTCACAGGTCCGGAGGCTAGATGTCCCAGTCAGGGCCTGAGCCGTGTGCACTTCTTCCTTGTCGGTGAACCTGGGCGCCCTCTGGTTCCTTGCTTGTAGATGATCTTCACATGGTGTTCGTCTTCCCTGTGTGTGTGTCTCTCTGTCTAATCTGTTCTTTTTATAACTCAGAAGTGATGAGGTTTAGAACCCACCCTACTCAGGTATGATCTAATGAACACAGCAAAGAATGACCTGTTCTCAAACAGGATTACATCCACAGGTATTGGGGTTAGGATTCCAATGCACATTTTGCATGAGACACAATTCAATCCATAGCAGCACCCAGCCAGAGCTATTACTAGATTTCCATAAGAAACTCCCCTCCGAGTCTCCCATCACCAAAATGACTGAGATCCAAGGCTTCCCCTGAAGTAGCATGACCGCTTTTGCTGTTGGGTAATCTAAAGAATACAGGTGGGTCTTCTCACGATCCAGATGTTGCAAAGGGTTCCCAGCCCCTCACTGCTCACTGGGCCCCTCAGACCAGCCGCTGGGCATCCTGGGTGCTGGTTGTCGCCGTTGTTGTGAGCTGTGGTCTAGTCAGCGCCCGACTCATAGTGACCCCAGGCACAGCGGAATGAGATGCGGCCCAGTCCTGTGCGGTTCCCATGCTTGGGTTCGAATCAGACCATTGTGATCCATAAGGTTTTCACTGGCTATTTTTTGGAAGTAGCTTGCCAGGGCTTTCTTCCTAGTCTGTCTTGGTCTGGAAGCTCTGTTGAAACCTGTTCGGCATCGTAGCAACATGCAAGCCTCCACTGACTGATGGGTGGTGGCTGTGCATGAGGTGCATTGACCAGGAATGGAACCTGGGTGTCCTGCATGGAGGGCGGGATCCCAGGCCCCACCCAGGCTGCTGTGTCAGACCCTCAGAGCTGGAGAAGGGGCTTTGGCAGCATGCAGTGAACCTTCCATACGCCAGGAGAGCCGCTCAGCGCATCAACGGTGCTAGGACGGAGGGGCTATAATGCCCACTGCTTTAGCAATGACAATGCTGAAGCTTGTCCAAAGGCACGCGGGGGGTGGGTGGGGAGGCTGGGATTTGAACCCAGGCTGCCCATGCCCAGGGGATGGTCCAACAGACTGGCTGAGCCCCTAGTGGGACACCTTATGGACTCACCAGGGCCTCAGGCTTTGGCCTTGACCTTGGCCCCTTGCCCTGGGGTCTAGTAGTTTGGATGGAGAGAACTGAGCAGAGAGCAAGGCCCGAGGCCTGGGTCTCCAGTCTAGGCCTGGCAGGGCCTGGCTGCTCCTGCCCCCGTCCAGGGTGGCTTCGGTGACCTCCAGCATTTCCTCCCACTTGGAGGTTGGGCTTGGTCAGAGGGTGTGGACACTAGGAGAGCAGGCTGAGGCTGTCTGTTCCCATGGGACTCCTGGCACTGGGAAAGCACTGACCCAGCAGATGCCTGGCAGGTGAAGGTGTGAAGGAGCAAACAGGTGGCCTCTGCGTAGGGTGTCAACACACACCGTCTACTCACAGCCATGGGTGGTTCTGGCATCTATTGCTGGAGTCCCTGGGTGATGCAAATGGTTAACGCCCTCGGCTGCTAACAGAAAGGTTGGCAGTTGAGACCATCCAGAAGTGCCTTGGAAGAAAGGCCTAGTGATTTACTTCCGAAAAATCAACCACTGAAAATGCTACGCAGCGCAGTTCTGACACACGTGGGATCATCATGAGTCAGGGCTGACTCAGTGACAACTGTTTGGGCATCTATCACTAGACTGTAGCCTCCGTGAGCGGGGGCCCTGGTCTGTCTTGTTCTCCACCGTTCGCCCAGTGTCTGGTGTGTAGTTGTTGATCAGTGAAGACGAGTCGAATGAATGAATGAATGAATGAATGACTGCATTGGTCACTCAGAAAGCAGTCGGTTGAAGCACCTTCAGGTTGGCCCTGTGGCTAGGGGCTGCCCTGTGTGCAGCTGGGGTGCCCCCGCTCTCTCCCAGCAGACAAGCTGAGCGGAGACCCCACCTCCCCCAGTGGTTCTTCTGTCCTCGTTGCCCCGCAGAAAGACCACCCCTGGAGGCGGGAGATAGTGAAGAGCGCCCTCATGGTCACATACAGTTGTGTGGCCGCCTACTGCCACCCACAGATGCTCCTCGCCCACGTGGACACCCCCATCACCGCGAAGATCATCCACCACTACTCCAGCAGCTGCCAGGTACCCCCGGGGCCCCGTAGGCCCCACCAGTGTACACAGGGGATGGCCTCTGAGCCAGGCTGGGGAGCACCGCCCTCTGTCACTGTCGGAGCATCCCCATCCCACCAGGAGACATCCAGGGGTCTTACCCGACGCCCAATATTGCGGAAGCCCATTGCCCCGGTCTGGGCTGTTCTCTGCTGCTTTGGAGCAAAGCGAGGGTAGGGGGGCAGCCTCTCCCCTGATGCTGCACCCTGGGCCCCCAGGAGTCACAGGATGAGCCTGCCTCTTCCCAGCCCATGGAGTCTGCCTTTCCTTTCCTCCGCCCTCCCTGACACCTGCCCCTTTCCTGAGGGACAAGGAGTGGGGTTGTCTTCAAAGAGATGCAAAGAACTGGGCTATTTTCTTGGAAAGGCGGGGAGGAGGAGACACAGAGAATAAAGCAACAATTATCTTATTTCGATAAGTGATCTGCCTCTCTGGGGATACTCGGGGCTCCGTGCTTCTGCCCCGGGTTACCGGGGAGGTGCAGTGCCCTGGCCAGCCCTAGCCGGAGGCAGATGCACAGTCGGTGCAGTGAAGCACGGATGAGGCTGTTGCCTCTCAGGGCGCTGCGACGTTGAACCCCTTCTCCAGGCAGAGGAGGAGCTCTCCTTTCTGAGGACTGGGGTGCTGGTGCTGGTTCTTGGGGGGCTGCTCACAAACATGCTCTTCTCTCTCTTCCCGCTTGCTGGGTCTGGGCACAGGACATCTCCCTCAAACTGGCCTTTATGAAGAGCATTATGCAGGTCACTGACGCCATCAAAAGCATCGAGTACCTGGAGGACTTTCAATTTGCCCAAAAGGCCACCGTTACTGGCATTATAACGGTGAGCGGGTCGGGGGCTCCCTGGGCCCTAGGTGGTTTGAGGGTCTAACTCTCCGCTGACTGGTTTCCCCCAGGGCAGAAGCTTCCAGAGTGCCCGAGGGAGCCAGGGAGACAGAGGCTGTGGGGGTCTCTGAAGTGCCCCCCATCTCAGTTCTGCTTTGATGTAACTGTAGGAGTTCCAAGTGCAATTTTTGTATCTGATGGAAGGTTTCACAGCCAAGAAATGTTTTAGAAACCAGGGCTGAAGACCCCGGCCCTCTTGGGCCCTGTGGTGCCTTGGGTGGCCGCTCAGGGGCTGGTACACAAACGGGCCCTGGGTCAGCCCAGCCAGGGCCCAGCGTTCTCCACGGGAGGGGCTTAGGGTCCATGATCTGCTGGAAGCAAGACCTTGAGCCACATTTGCATAGAAGTTTGGTAAGATCTAGAAAAATGGAAAAATGCCAACCGTCCAAAGGCAAGAATTTGGTGACGAGGGCTGATGGAGTTTGTGGGGTCGCCAGAGTCCTTCCTCCCCACACCCCCTTCCACTGTCACCACCACTAGGTATCATTGCTAATGCCTTGGGTTCTCGGGACACTGCTTGAGCTGCTTTGGAAAGAGTCCCTGAGGGATGTGAGAGCAGGCAGAACAGAAGGTGCTGGGAAGGACACCAACATTTATCTGCTCCCACTCAGACTTGGGAGCTACACAAGTGTAATTTCACACACAGCTCCGGGAAACAATCCACTCAGTCCCTACTTTACAGAGAAGGGACTCGGGTGCAGGCAGGGGGCATGATTCACCCAAGGACATGCAGCATGTAAGACCTGGGCAGGAAGTCAGGTCCATCTTGAGCTCTGCTCTTTACACTAAATCTGCTGCCTTCCTTAAGATGTCAAGTGGTTGGAAAATGAACAACAGAAACAGGGATGTAGAGCACTTTATAAGAGGTCAGGTCCCCCGGCACTAACATCAGGGAGTACTGCCACCGTTACGGTCACCGTTGGCCAGAGCCCACCCCTTGCCAGGCCCTCTGGGCAGCCAGCAGCTCATGGCCTGCTCGTGTATGGCAGGCCATCCTCAAGGCTGAGCCGGCTGACAGCCTGGTTTCTCCTGTGCGGACCACGGCCATGGATGCCCTCGCGCACCTGAGGTGAGCCGTGCTCCTGCCCATGTCCCCAGGGTCTCCTGGGACAGAGGCGAAGCCGAGACCTTCCCTTGTGCTCCCCAGGGTTTGCACCTCTTTGCGCTCCCCTGCCTCTGTAGCAGGGGTCTTGGGCTGCAACCTCCACCCCTACCCTGGGAACTGAGCAAGCAGAGAAGATGGGGGTCTGCTTCTCCCAGTTCTCACAGATAATTCTCAGCAATACTTCAAGCTTCACGGTGATACAGATGCCCCTGGTCCAGGGACCACACTTTGAAAACTCTTGGGCTAAGGCCAGCCTAAGGAGCCCTGGTGGTGCAGTGGTCAAGCACTCAGCTGCTAACCGAAAGATTGGTGGTTCGAACCCACCTTTGGCTCTGTGGGAGAAAGGCCTGGCAATCTTCTCTCGCAAGGATTACAGCCTAGGAAACCCTTTGGGGCAGTTCTGCTCTGGCACATGGGGTCACTATGAGTTGGAATCGACCTGAAGTCATGTAGCAACAACAACAGGACCAGCCTGGGAGGGCAAGTGTCCCTCAGTTCTGGCCAGGGGGGAGCACTGGAGTATTCCTGAGCAGACATAACAGGCTCATAGCAAGAGCAAGTAGGAGAGGTGGCTTTGGGCCCCTGGGTTTCCCTCTCAATCACAGACACAGTCACTGCTGGTGGCTAGGCAGAGCCAGGGCCCCTGGGGAGGGAGGCATGCCTGAACCCCGGGCCCCTCCCTCCTTCTGTGACCTGCCTTGGCGCCTGGACCGGGCAGTGGGTCAGCTCCCCACTGACCACTTCTCTTCACTGCCTCTCTCCCCAGCAAACTGAAGCCTTTCTACTCTGTGGAGGAAAACAGCGAGCTGATGGATATCAGTCTACATTCTGTAATTTCTCTTCAGCCCCCAGGAGAGGACAATGATTCCATGAAGGTAGGTCCCTCTGGGCCACCCCATTTTCTGGGTCAGGACCTGGAAGTTTACACTCAGATGGACCATGTGAGAGTTCATCTTCGTGAACCACTAGTGGTTGGAGGCAGCAAAGTGTGTAGGGATCTATTAGTAAGCATAGGGTAATACTAGGAGCCCCGGTGGCACAATGGTTAACGTACTTGGCTGCTAACCGAAAGGTTAGCAGTTCAAACCCACCAGCCGCTCTGTGGGAGAAGAGACCTGGCAATCTGCTCCTATAAAGATTACAGCCAAGAAAACCCTATGGGGCAGTTCTACTCTGTCCTATAGGGTCACTATAAGTTGGGATCGATTCAAAGACACCTAACAAGGTAATACTAACTGTTGTAACAGGTAAACCCAGAAATCTCAGTGGTTTAACAAAATAAAAGTATTTCTCATTCAGGTTAAGTCCAATTGGCAGTGGGCGGGGTGAGAGGTGGAGCTGCTTTACACAGAAATCCAGGTTGATATTGATAGAGGCTCCACCATCTTCAGTGGTCACTGTGGGTGTTGATATCCAACCTGGAGATGGGGGAAGAGAAACAGTATGGGGGATTTACAAGCCAATTTGCCGACCTCCTATTGGCCAGAACTTAGTCACATGGCCCCAGCCAGATGCAAGGGGTGCTGGGAAATGTAGTCCCTGACTAGATGGCTATTACCCACCAACACTGTGGAAGAAGAGGACACGTCTTTTGTGGACAACTAGCCATCTCTGCCTCGAGGGCCTGGCACTGGATAAGGAGTCAGGAGAACTGGGCAAGCCCTTCCTTTGTAAAATGGTTCTTCTTGAAAGATGGCCTTGTCCTTCGCATGAGAAGTACCAGTGTAAAGATTGTAAAGGCCTCAGCTCCAAGCAGACGTTAATGGGTGACTATCAGACCACTTCATATCTCTGAGTCTGGTGGAGCCCACAGAGTCACTGCTGTCCAGCCTTCTCCTCTCTTGGCGGCAGATCCTGTACACAAATGCCATGATTGCCCTGGCGCAGCTCATGGAGGGCCTCATGCAACGGCAGCTGGACCCCAAGGGCCTGCAGGAGATGGTGCACGTGAGTAGCCTCGCTGTGGGCCAGGACCTCTCTGCCACCCCGTCCCAGAACCTCATCTGAGGGCCCAGCTTTTTTGGTCTGTATTAGTTTCCTAAGACTGCTGTGACAAATTACCACAAACCGGGTAACCAATAAGAATAGAAATTTATTCTCTCACAGTTCTGGAGGCTAGGAATCTGAATTCAGGGTGTTGGCAGGCCCATCCTCTCTTGGAAGTTTCTAGGGGAAGATCCTTTCTTGCCTCTTTCTGCTTCTGGTGGCCCAGGCATTGCTTCGTTTGCAGCTGCAGCGTAACTCCGATCTGTGCTGTCATCGTCACAGGACTGTCTTCTCTCTGTCTGTCTCTCTGTCTGTCTCTCTGGGTGTCTCTTCTTCTATAGGACACCACTTATAGGATTAGGACCCTTTTGATTTCTATTTTGACATATAGGTCATTTAGAAGTTTACAGACATTTGGGAGATATTACAGAAATACTTCTGATTTTTGTTTCTAATTTAACTTCTTTGTGATCTAAGAACATACTTTGTATATTTTGAATCCTTTTAAATTTATTGAGACTCATTTTGTTGCCTAGATATGGTCTATCTTGGTAAACATTCTGTGTGAACTTGAAAAATAAAGTTTTTTAAATATCCTTATTGATTTTCTGTCTTCTTGTTCTATTATTGAGAGAGAGGTATTGAAATCTCTGACTCTAGTTGTACATTTGTTTATTTCTCCTTTCAGTTCTATCAGTTTTTGCTTTATGTATTAAGCTCTGTTATTGGGCACATAAACATTTAGGATTGTTATGTCCTCTTGATGAACTGACCCTGTATCATGAAGACATGAGCTTCTTTACACTCAGCACTGGTCTTTGTTCTGAAATGAACTTTGTCACATATTAGAACAACCCCTTAGGGCCATCTGGAAGGCAGGGCCACTGAGCTCCCGGGCCTTCATGTGCAGGCAGACATTCTGAGCAAGGCCAAGCACAGCAGCCAAGTACACACTGGTGAGGAGGCTGGGGACACTCTCTCTCTGCCCACAGCCTCCTCTCCCTTACTGGGTGGGGCCTTGAGAGAAACCAGAGTGTCTAGAACCACAGAGAAGCACTGAAAGTCGGACCCTGAAGGGGAGGGGCATGGAGGGCAATTGCCGGCCGGGAAAGGGCCGGCATCAGGACTTCAATGCTCCCCACCCCATCCTGTGTTCTGGGCTCTACCCACAGCTCCTGGAAAAATGGATCTTGTCGGAGAAAGAATGGGAGCGGGAGAAGGCCATGAATCTCCATCTTCGTCTCCTGCAGATCTACGTCCAGAGCGTGGGCGTCTGCGTGAGTCGGGGCACGCCCAGCCTCTCAGCTGGCCACTTGGACACCCGCCGGGGAATTTCCCTCTGTCAGTGAGAAGAGTGGACACGTGAAATCGAGTCCTTCCCCCTGTGGAGTCCCTCGGGAAGAGGCCGCCTCTTTGGGGAAGGGCCAAAGGGGGCTGCAATGAGCTAGCCACGGGTCCGGGGTGGGTGAGGGAGGGCCTGGACTGCACTGGGGCCAGACCTCAGCGTGGACCCAGGGTTTGTGGGCTCATACCGTGAGTGGTGAGGGCCCTCTTTAAGGAAAATGGTACACAATCAGGAATACAATACTGGTTAGGGAAGGGAATGTTTGCTTAGAACGAGAAAAGAAATGGTTGCAAAATTACAAATTTTGCACAGTTTGACACGAACATCACAAAATCTAGAAAGACAGTATAATGTTTTGATTGATTGGCTGTGCCTGACGCAGCTTAATGGGTCTCTTTTTCTACATTTGTTGGCTCCACACCCTCTGATTGCCTTGTCCTCAGGGACACCTGTTGGCAGGGGGAGGATCCGTGTCCCAGGGCTGGGGTGCAGGGACGGCAGCAGGTCCCAGGGCTGGTGAATGGTGAGAACAAGGTGAGCGTATGAGCTTCCTGTGGCTGCCGCGACAAGTCACCACACTGGGTGGCTGAAAACAATAGACGTTTATTCTCTCGCAGTCCCAGGAGCTAGAAGTCCGAAATTAAGGTGTCAGCAGGGCTACGGTCTCTCTGAAGGCTCAGAGGGGGTTCCTTCCTGGACTTCTCCAACTTCTAGTAGTTGCCGGCAATCCTTGGTGTTCCTTGGCTGGTAGACCCACCACTCCGACCTCTGTCTCCGCCTTCCTGCGGCCTTCTTCTCTCTGTCTCTGTCTCTGTGTATTCTCTCCTCTTCTTATAAAAGGCCTACCCCAACTCAGTACGACCTCATCTGAACTAATGACATCTGCAAAGACCCTGTTTCCAAATAAGGTCCCATTCTGAGCTCCTGGTTAGACATGAATTTTAGAGGGACACTACTCAGCCCAGCACAGAGGGGCAGGACCACTGTCCTGGGACACCAGAAAATGAGGTAATTTTGAGGCCAAGCCCTGCTTGTACCACCTGGACTCTCTGACTAAATTCTCACAACATTCCCTGAAAGAGGAGATGCCTTTACTACCTCTGCTTAACAGACGAGGAAAATGAGGGACTGAGAGGTTAGGTAAGGAGTAGGGGCCCCAGATTTGAGCCCAGGACTCAGTCACAGGAACAAGGCAAGCGCCTGGACATAGAAATTGGACCTGAGGTCAAAGGGGTGACTCAGCTGAGTCCTGAGCAGGGCTCTTGGGATCCGCCGGCCGCCGGCCCGAGCTGTGAGGCTTGGGGGACTGCAAGCTTGGGCGGGAGGTGGATGGGAGCGTCCTTCCATTCCCCGAGGGGTGTGTGCAGAGCAGGGTTCACCCTTTATGCTGCTGCCTGGCTCCGGGCAGCACCAGGTGTGCTGAGTGGACAGAGGCGGTGAGGGTGCGGTCTCCTGTCACCCACAGATTCCCCTGAAGCTGGGGCAGTTTGGCACCCTGGTGGGACTCATTGCCCCGTGCACCTGTGACCCCCACCGAAGAACCCGAGTGGCCTCCACTGACGTCCTGTCCAGCCTGCTGGACCTTCACGGTAAAGAGGGGTCTTGGGACCGGCCTCCTGGGACTGGGTGGGAGGAGGTGGGTATGGGCCTGTCAGCGGGGAGTGTGGCCTCTTTGTGCAGCTGAGTGTGTGGACGAACAAGGGTGACCAGGGGAGAGAGCGGGGGGTGGGGTGGGAGAGGCCGGGAAGCATCCGGAAGGAGGGTGCGTTGGTCAGCATGACTCACGGGGGATTCAGGGATGAGGTGAGCACCTAAAGACCAAGGATGTGGCTGGCAGGGTGTCAGGGGAGAGCCTTGATGGGAGCAAGAGTCTGAGCTGTGTAGAGGGGTGCAGGGAGCAGCCCCCCATGTGTCAGGAACCACGAGTGTGAAGGTGGAGGAAGGAAGCGACGTCCAGAGACCAAAGAGTGGCCCAGGCCCCTGGAGCCAGGGTGCCACGAAGCCCTTTGTCCTTACTGATCCTGTCTGCAATCATATCCCAACAGCCAGCCAGACCTGCTCCTTGTGGGACGCTTCCAAGGAGAAGGAGCTTATGAAATGTAGGGAGGACCTCAAGGGCTCGGATGAGGAGATGATTTTCTCTGCGTCTTCCAGAATCGCCAAGGTAATGAGCCGCGGAGGTCGTATGGGGTGTTGACTGGTCTCCCTGTGCCTTTGGTCACCTGCCTCAGCCTGGCTGCACCACCCACGTCCTCCTGCAGGGGGCGCTGCCTCCAGGGTCTAGGGCCCAACTCCATGCCATCCGTATTTAAACATTCTGACACATGTAAGGCCTCACTCTGTGCCTGGCACCCAGTAGGTGCTTAGCAGTCCCCGCTGTCCTCTCTCCTCCCTGAGCATGGAGGATGCCACCTGACACCCCAGACACTGGCACAGGGGCCCACTAGGTGGCTATAGTATGGGAAAGTGCCTGGAGCTGCCCAAACAGCAGGGCTGGGGCTTCATAGGGGCGGGCCACTTCCGCCTCAGGGGCCGGGGGGGCTTGTGGAGAGGCAGGACCAGGCCCCAGGACAGGACAGTGAGGAGGCAGCGTTTGGGGTGAAGCTTCCTGTGGGGGCTGGGGTGGTGGGGGCAGGAGATGGAACAGCCAGTGAGGTAGGGCACATTGTAGTCCATAGACCACCAGGCCAAGGAGGCTGGGATGGCGGCAGTGGTGGCTTTGAAGTAGAGGGGTGATGTCCTGGGCAGACCTGAGAAACGGGCTGGGGCCCAGGAGGGGGCTGTGGGAAAGTTTGTGTGGGAGAGGTGGGGCCCGTGAGGTGGGCTTGGAACAGGGAGGCTGGGGCATGGGAGGGGGCCTGGGTTTTGGTTGCCGACCCCTGGGAGGACCTTGTTCTAGGTGGTGTGCATGGAGTTTAACTGCGATGAGGTGGTGTCTCTCATCCAGAAGCTCTGCGAGAACATAGGGGCCATGGACCTCCAGCATGACAAGGCCTCCGTCACCTGGATAGGCACCTTCCTTCAGATGCGGGTCAAGGAGCTAGAGGACAAGGTGGTGAAGCCAGAGCGAGGGCTGCCATCGGGGTGGGGCTGCCTGGTGCAGACAGATGACCAGGCTCCGGACTAGGATGGGTGGGGCCCCTCCTGCCCTGGCTGAGAACGCCTCCCCAAGCCGCTGGTTGTTGAGGAGGAGGAGGAGGAAGAAGGGTTCTAGAACAAGAAAGAAACTTGTCGAAGGTAACCTGGTGGGTAAGTGGAGGGTAGGCTTGAGGCCCACGGCCCTCTCTCCCAGAGCCCACCACCTCCCACACAGAAACTCCAATAGTTAGTTCCAGGAAGAGACCAAAGGACACACTAGAGAGGGGGCTGGAGGTTTAACCATCCCATTGTCCAGTTGGGCAAGAGTCCTTGGGGTGAGGCAGGAGGTCAGTGGGCCCAGGCTGGCTCTGTGATGCCCTGCCCCCCCGCAGGTGGCCGAGATCCTGGGTGCCATCTTGGCCCACCTGCCGGTGGTGGACCACCTTGAGGTGCGACGCCTCCTCATTGAAGGCATCCTGCTGCTGGCACACTACCACCAGGAGACCGTCCTCACGTCACTCCTGAGGCAGCCCCTGCCCATGGAGAGGTGGGTGGCTGGGGCTGTAGTGGCCACAGCCTTCTGTGGAACCCAAGCCAGGCCAAACTCACTCCCATTGACACATCCCCAAAGATGGGGGCCTTAAATAGTACTTTGTCCAGGCCTGAAGTGGTCAGTCACGCCTCTACGGTGTCTCCTGCCGGGGACACCAACCTCCAATGATCCATGACCCAGAGCCATGACTTGTACAGCTTCATAATATGGACCCGAAGTCCTGGTGGTGCAGTGGTTAAGCGCTCGGCTGCTAACCAAAAGGTCGGTGATTTCAACCCACCCGCTGATGCCAGGGAGAAAGGTGAGGCTGTTAGCTCCTGTAAAGATTCCAGCCTAGGAAACCCTATGTGGCAGTTCTACTCTGTCCTATAGGGTTGCTATGAGTCGGAATGTACTCAACAACAATGGGTTGTTTTTTTCTTTTCCTGTTGTCCTGGTTGTCCCCTCTGGGGCCATGCCCACAGAGCCCACTACCACTCCCCAACAGAGAACAGAGCTCCTGGGCGCCCTCTGGTGCTGAGTTTGTTTTCCTCCAGCAGAAACCAGAACCAACCAGTTGCCGTGGAGCTGACTTCAACTCATGGTGGCCCCATGTGTGTCAGTGTGGAACTGTGTACCCTAGGGTTTTCAGTGGCTGGTTTTTCAGAAGTAGATTGCCAGGCCTTTCTTCTGAGGTGCCTCTGGGTGGATTCGAACTGCCAACCTTTCAGTTAGCAGCTTGGGAATCAGGGAAAACCTATTGCCATTGAATCGATTCCCACTCACGGCGACCCTGTGTGTTACGGAGTAGAACTACTCCGTACGGTTTTCTTGGCTGTTATATTTACCAAAGCAGATCACCAGGTCCTTCTTCCATGGAGCCACTGGGTGGGTTCACACTGCCAACCTTTAGGGAAGGCTGTTTCTAATTGTAGTGTGCAAGTTACCTGACTTCTGCAAGCTTTGGTTTCCTCTTCTGTAGAATATGGAGAAGCGGAGATAAAACGTGTCTTTACAGACTGTTGGGAGTATCGAATGGCATAAGCAAGCTGCCTGGCACCAGGCATTAATACGTGGAGACTATTATTTGGCATACCCGTAAAGGCATCAGGCAGAAGGCCTGGTGGGGATCTCCAAGGTCACCTATGAGTGAGGCTGGTGCTTCCAGGGGGCCATGGCCATCCCAGGAGTACCGTGGAGCTCAGGTCTCCTGCACCGTGTGAAGTCAGGAGCCTGAGTTCTAATCATCATTAGGCAGGTTGCTCCACCTCCCTGAGACTCCAGGGGTCACCCCCTACTCCCAGGGCTGCCAGAAGGCCAAAAAGGGCTCTTACTGAGAGGACATGAGGCCAGAAACCCACAGTCCTTTATGTGTCTTCATTAGCCACCTGACCGAGGTGTGGCAGGCTGTGGCAGAGAACCTGCCCTTCGCGAGGACGATGCTCCACGGCTTGATGGGCCGGCTCCAGTCGAGGTTCAGCCCCCGGGCAAACGCCACCTCCAAGGCTGACATCTGGCGGCTGGCTGCAGTGGACCCTCTGATGGTGAGTGTCAGGGGCTGGCTGGGGGCTCCTCGGGGCTATAGAGCCGGAGCCCCGACGCTGGCAACCTGCTCTCCCCAGACCCTGTGCACCATCCACCTCCTGGTGGAGAAGATGGATCAGGACGACGAGCTCCCGGACCTCCTCCCAGACCTTGTCTACACCCTTCTTCTGCAGCTCAGCAGCAGCCACAGGCCAGAGGCTTCACCCCCCATCCTGAAGACATGGCGGCTAGTGCACGCAGGGACCCTGCCCGAGGAGATCAACCTGCAGAGGTACTCCTGAGGGTGGGCGGGTGAGAGGGGGCTCACAGGGTGCGATCAGCAGGCCCGGCAGGACGCGCCCTCAGGCTGCCTCTTAGAAGCCACTAGACTGCACGGGCTATCTCCTGGTGGGGAGGAGGAGATTCCAGGAGCTGAGCTTACTCCTGATGCCTCCTACGTTTCCAGCATGGCATGGGTTATCGGGCTTTGCAGACCCCTCTCACAGGATTGCCCCTTCACCCCTTGAGCGAGGCCCAGAAGGCATTGTGAGTCCATTTCACAGACCAGAGAACCAAGGCATCATACCCCCACCTTCTTCCAGGATCACCATCAGATCCATGCAGCTTTTGCTCAGGAGAGTCAACAACGAGCACCTGGTGTGCAGCCTGGAGGAGCAGGGTGTGTGGAACCTCCTGGAGAACAGCTTGACGTTCCTGGAAGGCGTGGGCCTGCTCGCCAGGTAGGTGGGCCAGACTCTCACAGGTGGGGGTGGTATGTGCACTTCTTGCTGGAGGGAAGGGACCTCCCCTGTGAAGGGCACAGTCCAGGTGTCGGCTGAACCCTCACTTCTGGGGAACTGCCATATTATTCCACGTTCCATGCAACTGCCCCACGTTCCAGACTCCAGGACAGCAGCGTTGTACAAGAAAATCCCAATTCCACTTGCCGTCGAGTCGACTTTGACTCACAGCAACCCCATGTGTGTCGGAGTAGAACCGTACTCCACAGGGTTTTCAATGCTGATTTTTCAGAAGTAGATCACCAGGTTTTCTTTTGAGGCGCCTCTGGATGGACTCAAATCTCCAACCTTTGGTTAGCAGCTGAGCACTTAAATGTTTGCACCACCCTGGAACTCTTATAGTCTACCCCTTCCTGTTTCAGAGCAGGAAACAGAGACAGCCTCAGAGAGAGGAAGGTACTTGCCCAAGAGCACACAGGGGCCTCTGAGCAGGGCCAGGATGGGGAGTTATTTCTCTGGTCCTAATCACTCATGGAGTCCCTGAGTGGTGCAAATGGATAACTGAAAGTTGACTGTTCGAGACCAGCCAAAGTGCCTCAGAAGAAAGGCCTGGAAATCTCCTTCTGAAAAAATCAGTCATTGGAAACCTTATGGATCAGGATGAGGGGGAGGAAATGGAATGTGTAGTTAATTGCCTCCATGAACAACTGCCTCCTTTGCCATGAGACCTGAAGACCTGGATGGTGCCCAGCTAGCAGTAATGAACATTTTCATTAAAGAGTCTATAGAAGAATCCTGACCAAAAGGGGGAAAATGTAGACCAGAAGTTCAAATTCTCATGGCCTCCAGACTTTCTGGAGCTATGGAGGCTGGATGAACTGCTGGAACTATTGTCCTGAGATTAATCTTTAAATCTTAAATCAAAAATCCCCTCGAAGTCTTCTTAAAATCAAACAATAGTTTAGCTTAACTAGTGAAGAATGTCTGCCTTGAGTGCTGTGCTCTTTTAAGAACTGTCTATATGGGATCAAATTGACAACAGCAACTCGAAAGCTTAGACAGGAACTTTAGGGGGCAGTGAGTTTATGTTAATGGAGGAGGAACACCTCAGAGAAGGACAGTGAGAATGGTTACAAAACTCGAAGAATGTAATCACATGTCACTGAATTGTTCATGTAGAAACTGCTGAATTGGTGTATGTTTTGCTGTGTACATTCTCAACAACAGCATCAAAATAAATAAAGTAAAAGATAACCCTATGGAGTGAGTTCTGGGGGTCACCCTGGGGTCACCGTGAGTTGGAGTCAACTTGACGGCAGCTGCTTTGGTTTTCTTTTTTATTTTCGATCACTCATGAGCGGCCCTCATCCTAGTCCCCTCGTATGAAAGGGAGGTGGAAAGTACTTGCTTCCGCAACAACCTGACCAAACCCCTGGGGAGAGGAGGGAGAGGTCCGGGATGCTCACCCCGCCGGTCGCTGGGCACTTAGTGAAGGTCAGGCAGAGGCTGAGAGCCTCCCGGCCCCACGGCTGCCCGTCTCTCCCCCAGGCTGTGCCTACAGAACATGGAAGGCCACAGGCGGAGGCTGTCGGAGCTGGTGCTCAGGGGCCTGGACGCCGAAGTCCTGAGCTGTCGCATTAGCAGCACGGCGGTGTGTGTGGAAGTGAGGCGCCTGGCGGGGGACGGGCACAGGGTGGGCGTGGGCACCTTGGGAGGGCCCAGTCAGGGGCAGGTGCCCCATCCTGAGGGACATCCGAGTCAAGGGGGCAAGTGGGCTTCCCTCATCTGTGTGTTCATGCCTCCCTTCCTTCCTTCCTTCATTAATTCATCCCATGAACGATTCACCTGGGGGTGAGGCTGTGCCTGAAATGGAGTAGTAATGGGTATGTGATGTGTTAAGTGCTGCCAACACCTGAAAATCCTGGAGGGGGCCCCTCGGACGCTCTCTGGGAACCAGGCCTGGGGAAGGCGTGGTGCAAGGATGATGAACAGTGAACAGGGCTTTGCCAGGCAGGAAGGCCAGGAGGGGTGTGATGGCTACTTGGGTCCAGCTATCTTCGTATAGTTGGAGCACTTATAGGATCCTGAGGGAATTGACCAGAAAATTTTAGAACTTTTATTGACTGCATGGTGCCCAGTACACCATAGGAACTAAACAACAGCCTAGTGCTGGAGTCAGCACATTTTTCTGGAAAAGTCCGGGTAGTAAACATTTTCAATTTTGTGGCCCATGCGGTCTTTGTTGCCATGGCTCAACTCAACTTGCAGCCTGAAAGCAGCCCCCGACAATACATAAACCAACGGGCGTGGCTCATGGCACCGAAATGTAAAGTTCATACAATTTTCATGTGTCATGAAATATTCTCCTTTAGGTGTTTTACCAATCATTTGAAAATGTAAAACAACAAAAGACTAACAACCCAATTTAAAAATGGGCAAAAGACTTAGACATTTTTCCAAAGAAGACATATGAATGGCCAATAAGCACATGAGAAGATGCTGAGTGTTGTTAGTTACTAGGGAAATGCAAATCAAAACCACAATGAGGTGCCGCTTCACACCCACTAGGATGGCTATGATCAGAAAAAGGGAAAGCCCTCATCCATTCCCGGTGGGATTATAAAATAGCACAGCCACTTTGGAAAACAGTGTGGCAGTTCCTAAAAAAGGGAAACATAGAATTACCATATGATCCAGCAATTCCGCTCCTAGGTATATACCCAAAAGACGTGAAAGCAGGGATTCAAACAGCTACTTGTATGGGAATGTTCATAGCAGTGTTATTCACAATAGCCCCACAGTGGAAACAACCCAAGTGGCCTTCAGTAGAAGAATGCATAAGCAATATGTGATATATACATATAATGGAATACCACTCAGCCACAAAGCGAAATGAAGGCATGATTCATGCTGTAACATGAGTGAACCTTGAAAACGTCATGCTGAGTGAACTAAGTCAGACCCAAAAGGACAAAAGGTGCATAATCCCACGAAATATCTACAGTATGAAATATTAAATACCAAAAACCAAACCCGCTGCCACTGAGTCGATTTGGACTCATAGTGACCCTATAGGACGGAGTAGAACTGGCCCATAGGGTTTCCAGGGAGCGGCTGGTGGATTCGAACTGCCACCCTTTCAGTAAGCAGCTGAGCTCTTAACCACTGCCCCACCAGGACTCCGCATCTTATTAAATAGCCCTAACGAAAATGTCTAGGATATGAAATACCTTACTAAATGCCCCTAACGAAAACTAGGGGCCACGAGTAGTTCAGTGGTAGAATCCTCGCCTTCCATGTGGGAGTCCCAGGTTGGAAAGAAAAATCTTATTTCATATTCTGAATGAAATATCTAGAATAGGCAAATGCATTGAGACAAAAGATTAGTGGTTGCCCGAGACTACGGGGAGGGCAGAATGGCGGGTTAGAAAAAAAAAGTGACAATAATTTTTGGCTTGGAGGCTGCATGAAAATGAGTGGCAGGCCACCGCCTGCCCATCCCATGTCCTAGAGCAAAAGACTCATGTGGGAAACTTTCACAGGCCAACCCAATGCACGCTCCCAGGAGCCTCTGATCTCACCTCCTCTGTAAACACTGTGAGGATGGTTGGAAGAAGAGGCTCGCTTGCTATCTCACGCAGGACTATCTCCTTTCGTGTGCCTGCTTTACAACTCTAGCAGAGTGGGCAAGAAGCAGGTGCTGGCATTCGAGTGCCTGGGCTGGTTTCTCAGACTCCCTGTGCTTCAACCTCTACATCTGCTCAGCTGGGGATAACAGCACCCACTTTACCGGGTTTCAGTGAGGATTAAATGAGACAATGTCCCCCAAGGGGTCGGCATCCATTGCCAGGCCACGTGGTGAGGACTCCCAAAATGGTAGCTCGCTATTACTTTTGGAAAATTAGGTTCAGCTTCTGAGACACAAGTTATTTAAATGCTTTAGAAGTAGATAGGGCTGGGTGATAAATGATTTTTAAACACATGCTAAGCTTGGACTTTATCCTGAAGAATATTTAAAATACGGCACGACAGCCTAGAAAACCCTTTGGACACTTCTACTCTGTCACACGGGGTCGCCATGAGTCAGAATTGACTCCATGGCAACCGGTTTGGGGAATTTTTACAGAAGAGGAAACTGAGGCATGGAGAGGTTAAGTGACTTGCCAGAGCTGGTTCTCCTCCTCACAGTGGGGTTGGTCTAGGCATTGGATCTAATCGAATGCCCCACCGTTTGCTGAGAAATGGGCTTCTACTGGTGATAATCTTTAAAAGTTCTCCTTTCCAGTTCATGAGCGACCCAGTTCTGCACCAGGAGAAACTGCTGAAGCCCGTGGTGTTCATGCTGGAGAGAGGCGTGGACCAGGAGGATGAGGCTCTGCGGGTGCTCTCCCTGCGCGCCCTCGGCAACATGGCCCTAGGCGCCCCGCAGAAGGTACCACGCTGACCCAGGCACACCTGATGCTGACCCAGGCCCTGGGAGCAGCCCCTGGAGCTGGGCGGTGGGGACCTCATCTTCTGAGCCAGGCCCTGGGAGCAGCCCCTGGAGCTGGGCGGTGGGGGCCTCATCTTCTGAGCCAGGCCCTGGGGTGCAGCCCCCTGGAGCTGGGTGGTGGGGGCCTCATCTTCTGAGCCAGG